GCCAAAAGTGTCAATGACATACAAATTAGCCATCTATCTGTAAGCTTTGAAACAGGAACTTCAATTTTAATAACAAAAAATTATTAAACCATGTAAAAAAATAAAGTTTCAATTTAGTATTGTTGAAAACTCATCACATTCAACATTTAATCACACTCAGCCCATCTACCCAGATGAGAGCTCTGCTAGTCAGACTTCTCATCAAGCATCTCCCGCTGGATCTAATCTCACTATATTTATTAAACGGGATATTTCATTTATCTTGTTGTCTTTATCTAACGACATATTCCCTGACTTTGGGCATTGGAATCTATTACTTGTTCTCAGGTAATGTGTTTTGGCAAAAGAGAGGCTGTGTTTCGTATTTTCACTGAAATTGAAAGGAGGCAGTTGTTATCGGCTCCGTTTTGTTATAAATATCCACACAGTGAAGATGACGCTCAACTTATGCAGCACGACGCCTCAACATGTCTGCTGTCTAAGTTGCTAATATTAAAATGAAAATAGGCAGTTCCTTAAATCATGTTTACATTTTATTGTTGAGAAAGTGAAACAACGAAGCCAGGGTGATGTGAATGAAGTTATAAAGTACACTGTTCCCTTTGAAGATTTACCCGTGTCCAGCGTTTTCGAAACGCTCCGTTTTTGGCGCTCGAGAACTCCGGCGTAGTGTGGACGGTTGGCGTAACCGTAGCAAAACTTATGCGTTTTCAAACTAAAACGCATTAGTGTAAACAGGTCCTTAGAGTTTTCCAGCTCTTTTCATCCCCGCTTCTAGCAGCACACTCCATTTCCGCATTACTGGATCTGTAGCGACAACAGACCGCAAGGGATGATGGTCAAGCATGGGCTGATGGCAATTGTAGTTTTCGCTACCTCCCGTTCGCTTCATTCGCCTGAGCAAATTTTCTCAGAAGACCTATAGTTTTACCGAGTCATGCGACTTCAGTAATATCGGAAAAAATTAATATTGTGGTATGACGGTATTTACAATACCGTTACATCCCTAGTAAATAACATAATAGATATCCATGAAGCAGTGTATATTAATGTGTATCCTGTCCTATTTGCTGTGCGAAAACAGTGCAAAGCTGTGTACTTTAAAACAACAATGTGTGTTACTCGTCATTGCAGAAAGGCTTGAATAAACTCCAGAACAAATACATCAAATAACCATTGGGAAAGTTCTTTCTGTAGTAAGGGAGATCTGCTTCATTCTTGTCTGTCACTGTGATGTTTATCTAGCGATAAAACAGCGATCTCTATGGCTGTGACATGCATGTGGGAATGGTTGGCGGGGAGAACCAGCAGACGAAAACAAGTAAAACAGGTTTGTAACAAGTAAAGGGTGAGTAAACGATGACAGGATTTTCATTTTGGGTGAAAGATCTCTTTATTAAGCTATGATCTTTATGTTCACCCACACCGATTATCACTTCATGAGAGAGTCCAGGTCAGATGTAACAGTGTGCCTGGAGGATTAATGCATGTTCTAATCAGTCCTGCATTGATTAAGGGAGACCAAAACCACAGATATTGATCAATGGGGAAACAGGCTGAAACTGGAAAACCATCTGCAGTTGTCTGTGAAATGACCAGTCGAAGAACATCAAGATTTATAAGCACAGAAACCGAGCTTTGGGGAGAGGATAAAATTGCAAAAACCAATCAATAGCTAAATATAGCGCTAAAGAATAGGCACTGAATACATAAATCAATAAATGCCATTTAGGCCTTACCACACTTTTTATAAGATAAATGCAGTACCGTGGCCAACAACCTCCATTTTAGACAGAAATGAGAAAAAAAGACTCTTGGAGTGTTTTATAGCTTCTGGGTCAAATCATTCCCTTGAATGTCAGTGAAGCTAAATGATGGATTCTATCTTATATTACATCCACCTAAAACAAGTTTATATTTGGTTTAGATTAAAAGCAGGTTTGACTGTCTAGTACAGGGATGGGCAAACTTGATCCTTGAGGGCCGGTGTCCCTGCAGAGATGTGTTCCAACACTAGTCAAACACACCTGAACAAACTAATCAGTGTCTTCAAGATCACTTGAACTCTATAGGGAGGTCTGTTTGAATAGGGTTGGAGCTAAACTGTGCAGGACACTGGCCCTCCAGGATCAAGTTTGCCCACACCTGGGGCCTCATGTACAAAGACTTGCGTGGAAATCTTACTAAAACATTGCGTACGCACAAAGCTGTAAATGTGCGTACGCAGAAAAAAATTCAGATGTATGAAACACTGCGTACGCCGAATCTCACGCATATTCTTTTGTACATCTGAATGAACGTGAAACTGAGCGCAACATGCACGAGCACAAAACCCCTCCCTGCCTCCTCCCCCGTATGAATATGCTAATGACTATGCTAATGGAAAAACCCAACGAAAAAGCAATGGCAAAATCAAGCAAAAAGAGAAACTTTGAACAGAATGTGAAATGGAGGTGCTGCTTTCGGAGGTAGACCGGAGAAAAGCGGTGTTATTTGCAAGTTTGTTCTCCGGAATTAACAACAAAAGAAAAAAATAGAGTGGGAGAGTTTAGCTGATACGGTTAACACAGTTGGGTCTGAACATCGCACTGAGTGCATTAAAAAGAAATAGTGTGGTTTATATCTGTAAAATGTTGCAGTATCCTTAGCAGTCTCAGTGGCGCACCTCATAAGAAGCATGTGATCATGTACTGACACGTTCGAGCATAAACTCGGCTCGAATCCAGCGTCTGATGAACTCTTTCTTCTTTTTTTCCCCGCTACATATCAGATTTTGCCCACTATTTATCACGAGAAAGACAAGTAGGAATCATCAATAAGTTTGTGCATCATATTTTATTTGCACATTTATTGAATGGAAATGTTTCTGATTCACGCATGCAAGTTCATCTTCAGATAGTGTCTTTATAGCAATGTGCGTGCAGTAGATTGCTCAGATTACATTGGGAAAACAGGCGACTGCTGCAAATTGTGCTTTAATGTTTAGCTGGTCAACTGTATGGTATGGAAATCTTACATACCTACTATATGAACCCGTCTCATACAGCTGCCATTGCAAGGCTCAGACACTTTGTAGAGAAGAATTTAACACAACTGCCTCTAGGAGTCGCCAATGGAAATAAAACAGACACACACAAAAAATGTGCGTAAAAAAAAGCTGCCGTGAACCTGCGCACATTCCCACGTTCAGTTCATTGTTAGTAAATCCAAACGTGAGCGATTCTGAGCGTGAAACTTGGCGTACGCAAAGTTTTTGTGCGTACGCAGCGTTGATACATGAGGCTGATCACATCGGTGTTATTGTACGTGTCAAAGGGTTAAAAGTGTGTTCATTTTGTTCTTTTATTATTCAGCGATTTCTCTGCGTACCACAAGACAAAAGCCGGTCCGTGTACCACTAGTGGTACGTGTACCACAGTTTGAGAACCACTGCTCTAAAACATGTAAATAGATAATTTTACATAGCTAATTTAGTAAATTATAATTGTAAAAAGGCTAATTTTACAAGTCATCATATAGGGTTAAACAGTTAAATTTGACAATATTTAAATTCATTCAGCCGATCTTCTGTCTGGTGGAAGAACATTTAGCTTAGCTTAGCATAGGTCATTAGATTATTTATATCTTGCTCAAAAAAATAAAACAAAAGACTTTCTATTTATAGAGCCCTCTATTGTGGGTTCTTAAAATTACCTGCAACATAGCTCTAAGTGAATGAAAACATCCATCTGATGTTTAAATCTAAAAGTGCACCTTGTTTAGAAATATCGATTTTGTAATAAAAGATTCGACTCAGTCTCGTTTAAATGATTCATTGTTCATCCGGATCTTTTGCCTGTTCATATTGACGTCGACATGAAACAATACCAAATATGAAGTGCCGGATCCGGTAAAACGTGAACGCGCCTTTCCCTTTAATCTCTAGCAGAGTGCATGGGTGTGTAGGACTGATCGGGACTGAAGATGAGTGAACATTAAAAAGTGAACATTCTGGTGATTAATGCAATAATCTACCCTGCAATGGGGGATTCATCTGCCATTTGTTAAAGGAAGGCTCAGAAAAGACTATTGATGTATGGGACTTTGTCAGAGCTTGACAGGAACTTTTTTAGTACACAGTTCATGGATCAAGTTTTTCCTCCAGTTCACAAGTGTAAGTGCGATTAAAATGGTTACCGATGCTTGCAAATTATGTATTCAATACTGTTTTGTTACTTGCAATCACTCCACGCGACTCTTATTGTATCTAGTTAACTCTATATATTATCATATCGCATCTAAAGCCATTTTGAAAACGTGAAGCGTGTCATTGCTGTGGCCACCATTAGCTGTTCCTACACACGTGTGGTGGTCAAGTTTCAGAATAGTTCAGCTTTTGTCACTGTGTTGATTAATACTGAATGTGTGTCACTGATTTTACTTTTGGTAACAATAGAGCAATAGGCTGGTGTTTAACTGCATTGGACTCACACATATACTCTGCATGCACTCAGGATCTCTCTTGCGCTAAACACAGTGGACCAATCGCAACAGACTGGGTCATCGACCCAATCAGCGGAGATTAGCATCACGCTAAGAAGGGGTTTGGGATTAAATGAATCGCTGAACAAATCATACGGGAGTCACTGGGATAACTAGGTACAAATAAATGCATATTATAAGACAATGAAAGAGTTTTTGAGCCTGCATGCACATCAGCCTGTTGTTGGAGACCCCCAAAACCAAAATATGACCTTTTAAAATGCATAATAGGAGCTCTTTAAAACTTGACCCTTCTGTAGTTACATTGTGTAATAAGAAATTGAAAAACGAAACTTTTTCTAAGTCGATTTGGCTAAATTTTGGTTTAATAATCAAGGGACTTAATAATAATCAATGATATTAGTATGGTTCATAGCCATACTGGCCTAGAAAATAGCGAGTTTTCATTTTCTGTTGGTCTTATAACACAATATAGCTAAAGAATATATTTTTTTGTTGGGGTCAATTCAATGATATCTAAGCTAAAAATGCTTCTGCCAGACCAAGAGATCAGCTGAACAAATTCAAAAAAGCTCAACTGTAACTTTCGGTGACTTGTAAAATGAGGCTTCCTTTATAAATAAATAAAAAAGCAATGTCCTAATATTGTGGAAAATGTGAATAAAATAGATTAAACGCCAGTCTATTCAAAATGTGCACACATAAGGTGTTAAATTTAACAACATGGGTATGACAAACTCGAATGTGCTTAAGCATTCATTAGCACATGAAAAGAAGGATTGGATGCATAAAGGTACTGCATATGTTAAGCATTTTAAATCAGTCTCCTGTGAGGTCCCATTTAATCCAATATGCTTTGTGTGGATGCAGCTGTCTACGTAGGCAGTAGCGCAGTATTGGAACAAAGCTATAGAGTATAAAACAACACAGTGAAGATCATCTTTCTTACCACTGCTGGTAACATTACCCAGATCATGTAAACCAATTTCACACAGAAATTCATAAATCTCCATTCAAGTCTAGCCGCCCCCGAAGAGATGAGCACGTGTCCAGCAAATCACGTTGAGTTCTCCCTTGTGTCTCAGGCTGTGGAGGTCCTGAGCGGCAAATCTGATCAGGAAGTTGGCATTATAGCAGCAGCTGCTGAAGATCCAATAACAACGCCGTTTGGGCTTCATTAAACTCTGTTATATGGTGAGCGCACATGCAGCGTCTTACTCATAAAATATTACAGTAATAATATTACAATTTCCAGTAAGAGTGTAAGAAATTACTAAGAATAATTACTATTCATAAAATGTCTTGTTACTGTGTTTCGTCAGCCGTAATCCTGATTTAAACTCAACAATTTTAAAATCCCTAAATTCATTTCCATAGATTTCATGACTTCCAAATACATGTGACAATCACTGCAGCAAGCTAGCTTGGCAGATGGAAATATTAAGGAGCAGGAATTCACTAAACCAGTGGACTGAAAAATATCCATTGTGTCCTGTCTGTCAAACCTCAATAATACTAAGGCACATTCTTGTCTTTCAAAAGGTAATAATACCAGGAGGCACAATCAGGTCCTGGAATTGTTAGCCTGGAAGACTAAGTGGAGTACCACTCTCAGTGCTTCCTTGCCTCCAAGGACTGAAGTGTTCCAGTCTTCAAAATAGGAGGGCAACTTCCATTAAAACCAATTACAAAAAATATCCCTACTAGATGCATGCTGACTAAGGTCCCATTCACACGGCAACAGATTTAGGTAAATCCACAAAAATGTAATATAGTTTTTGGTTACTTGTGCTGTCAGTGCCCTGAAACAAATGTTTTGTATAATAGGCTACAGAGTAGAACAGTTTCAAAAGACAGAAAATATACATAAATAGACATAAAACTTTTATATTCTACAAAAGATAAAAAAAAAAAACAATAATTTCCATCTGAAATAGTTAGAGGTGGAAATGGTGTGAATTGTTACTTAAAGAGATTTAAAGAGAAAATTCTGTCATCATTTACTTTTTTCAGACCTTTATGCATTTCTTTATTCTGTTAAAATCAAAGGAAGAAATTTCGAATTAGAGATTTTCAGCTTTCTTCAAAATAACTTTGTTTGTCTTCCACAGAAGAAAAAAACTCATAAAGGTTTGGAACCACTTGAGGATGAGTAGACAGTAAATTGTCATTGTTGGGAGATCTCTTTAGTGTTACTATTGCAGCCTTCATTCTATGCCTACATCAAGGCAGCCCAAGCTCTAAGATTTCCTGATACTCCTTATAAGGATTAATTATATTGATCTGAATTGTGTTTGTCGTCACTAAAAGGGGCAGGTGCAAGGTTGTTACAAAACCTATATGTCTTGAGTGCGATCAATATGCTCATTGATGAAATGTCATGCCTTTATAAGCCCTGTGGTTCTTGTGTCTGGGACTTTTGCCATCTGATTACTGTTGTTTAGTGTCCCAGTCGGTTTTAACAGAATGTAAGAGATTAACATGAAGTCAATGTTTTCCTCAAGGTCCTCCTATGCTGTCCTCCTATGCCAAGACTGAAGACAAGCTGTTTAAACATCTCTTCAGCAACTACCAGAAATGGGTGAGACCAATCGAAGATCTAAACACAACTATTCAAGTAAAGTTTGGCCTGGCAATTTCCCAGCTGGTGGATGTGGTGAGTGATCCTAAAACAGCATTCTCATACAAAAGCGTCATAATATAATTGTATTTGAACATATTTTAAACGAGAATTTTTTTTTACAGTCCATTTCCGCATGTACATACTTTGTTTTTATCATAGTCATTACTTAGACTGGGTTAGTGTGATTTTAACAAATGGGACATGTTACTGGATCAACATCTATGGTAATCCTAGAACAATATTCCAATCAAAAAAATCAGATTTAAGAGATGTGTGTTTACAGTTTTAGTTTATGCTTACAGTTAGAATAACATGCTTCTACATCATTAGCCACATTTCCAGCCACCTATTTAATGCACAGTTTGGAGTATTGAATAACAAAACACTGGATGGAAATGATGAGTAGGATAACCTTTTTTCTGATAAGAAACAATGTGCATAATGCAAATGCATTTACTGAAATTACAGCATCAAAGTCATGTGATCTTGCTTCAGCAGATCATGTGACAACGAAATTGGCTGAAAGTGGTAGTTATGTTTGGGTGGACGATGAGGTTCAAACAGGGCTTTATTTGCAAATGTTTTATGCAATATTCCAGTTTTGCGCATAAATTTAATTTGCATCATTGGATGGAACATGACTACTGCTTTGCAACTATTAACCCCCTCTGATTTTGTGAATAATATACAGTTAGGGTTAAGTTAAGGGGTAGAGATTAGGTATGGATTACATTTTTGAAAAGGAATGATGTTTCAGAATCAACATGTAAATGCACAATTGTGTCCTACTTAGCAAAATCACACCCACCACACAAACTGGGTACTAATCTACCTAGTGTACATTGTAACATAAAAAATAGAGTAAAATAGAGTGCAACCAAATTTATTGTTAGCCATGTTTGTGGGTAACATAGAAATATGGTTAGGGTAAAAAAAAAGGTAAATTACTAGTAATAATTGAGATTTTCTTGAATAGGATGAGAAGAACCAGCTGATGACGACCAATGTGTGGATGAAGCAGGTAAAGCAGTACTTAATAATCCAGTAATATTTTTCTTATGTGGTTCTGGTAGTATTTTGTTAAAGAGTTTCTTAAGTTTTGTTTGTGTGAGACAAATCAATCTCTTTCACATTCAGGAATGGACAGACTTGAAGCTCAGATGGGATCCGGATCATTACCTGGGCATCACCTCTATCAGGGTGCCTTCAGACTCCATCTGGATTCCTGACATTGTGCTCTATGACAAGTATGTGGTGTTAGAAAGTTTATAAGTCACGCTGCAATTGTTTGTCAGTAAGTGCGCATAATAATATTAAGCAGCAAAATTCAGACAAAATTGTGGGGATATTGAGCAATATACATTTGAAGTCAAAATTACTATTTAATTGTTATTTAAACGAATTATTATTACGTTTTTTTCAAATATTTTTCATATGATGTTTAATAGAGCAAGGAACTTTTCACTGTATTTTCTATAATATTTTTCAAGTCCGGAGAATGTCTTATTTGTTTTATTCTAAATAAAATAAAGGCCGTTTTAACATCTTTTAAAACTATTTTGAGGTCAATATTATTAGCCCAATTAAGCTATTTCTTTTTTTCTATTGTCTAAAGAACAAACAATCGTTCTAGAATGAATTTTAAAATTACCCTGACTTGCCTATATCTTGTATATGTTCAAACACAATTCAGAATTTAGATATGTTAAATAACACTGCAATTATGAATAGATAATTGTTCAGACTGTCATTTTAATTGGTCAGTTTTTATTTACTAATGATTCCAGCTTCCTGTCAGAAAATCTAAACAAATCATTTGTAAATGTAAACAAAACATTACATTTTGCAATGTTGAAAAGCTACACTGAAAAAGACAGACATGTTAATTTAGCACAGTGTTAATTTTGGAGCCTGTCTATATCTCATGGTTGGTTGATTGCAGTGCAGATGGTAATTTCGAGGCCACAGTGACAAAAGCAGTGGTGAGATTTGATGGCACAATCTCCTGGACTCCTCCTGCCAACTATAAATCTGCCTGCACCATTGATGTGACCTTCTTCCCCTTTGACCTTCAAAACTGCTCCATGAAGTTCGGTTCTTGGACCTATGATGGCTCCCAGGTATGTTTTTAATTATTATTAGACACCAAAAGCCAAATTCATGTTGTTTCTAAAAAAAAATTAGTTTTTTTTTTTATTTAAGTCGATTAAACATATAACAAATAAATAATATATATATATATATATATATATATATATATATATAGCTGTACGTTTTCAGAATGAGTCTAGGTTGGTTACATTTGATACATTTATCTGATTACTGTTATCTGATACATTTTTACAGCAGTTTAATTTAGTAAACATAATGAAAGGGTAGTAAATTTGCCCAGAGTGACATGTTGAATTTTTTTACAATTGTCTAAATATGGTTTGTCATCGAAAATCTTTCCGCTAGCTGAAACACAAAAAAAACTTATGGCCAAATTAAGACTCAAAATCACCCCAGAGTGGATGAAAACATCCCCAGCAGTACATAATGGTTATTACATGAATATTTATGCAGCAATTGAACAATCCTCTTCTTTTAAAGGTCGACATTCTCCTTGAAGACGTGCATGTGGACAAACGTGACTATTTTGACAATGGCGAATGGGAGATCGTGAAGGCCACTGGTAACCGGGGTTTGAGAAGAGATGGGACTTTTTTCTATCCATCCATCACGTACTCCTTTATAATCCGACGTCTTCCTCTCTTCTACACACTCTTCCTCATCATCCCCTGCATTGGATTGTCTTTCCTGACTGTGCTTGTCTTTTATCTTCCGTCTAATGGAGGGGAAAAAATCTCCCTCTGCACGTCTGTCCTCGTCTCACTTACTGTCTTCCTTCTGGTGATAGAAGAGATCATCCCTTCCTCCTCAAAGGTGACTTATGTATTTAAATGATATCTGTAGTGTGCGTCAGTGTGCCACACACATCGCTATTCTGAATTAGTTCACATTATTGTTGAAAACTATTTGAGTAAATTTGTGAGCAGTTGGTTGTCTGTGCGATAAAGATTTACATCAAATATAAGTTTATTGAATTATATTATTCTAGTAGATTTAGTTAAAATGTACAATGTTTATTTAGTAACACTTTAAAACAATGGTCAGTTAATGTATTTATTAACATCAACAAACAATTAGTTATACGTTTATTATGGTATTTATTCATCTTCGTTAACAATAAGTTTACGTTTAATAACATTAGTTCATGTTAGTTCTTAACTTATTGTGCATTAACTAATATTAACGGTGATATGCTTTGAAAATATGCATTTTTATTCAATGTTTAACGTAATCTCAACTGAAACATAGTCAATAGTGTTTCGTTTTATCACAGCTTTGCCAGTGAAAGTGGTTGAGCTCAAGCGCATCAAATGTAAAGCAAATAAGAAGTGTCTTGAAGGGGGCGGGGCATGTCAGATACTAGAGAGCATATGATTTGTTATGATGTGATGAGAAAGTGTAGTGTGAGATGATATGAAAAAAAAAAAAAAAAACGTTGATCCATTTGGGCGGAGGTGAGAAACTACAAGCTTTACATGTTTATATTAGTTTTATATCTTCTAAATGCAAATTTTGTCACTGTTTTTGGGCGCACTAGCTTATAGATATGCTAAAAAAAAATAAAAAATAATAATACTGATACTAACATCTAAAAAAATACTTTAATTTCATGTACTTTAACAAGCACAACTTTAGATTTTAATAATCCATTAGTTAATGCTGAATTATGATTAATAAATGCTTTACGAGACTATTCATACTTAGTTAATGTTAAAAAATACATTTACATCCACTAATGGATCATTATTCTATTTGTTATTCATTTATTTTTCTGGCACACATTGTTGTTGTCTATTTAACAGTTAATCAAAATAACTGTAAAATTGTGGTCATTTTTAATCAAAAATCTAATCTTGAATAGGGATGCAACGATTATAGGTTTTAGTTGTATGATTATAGTCTGAGGAATAATCACGGTTATCACGATTATAATGCATTTATTAGTTTAGAAAGACTCCTCATACGTTAGTATTGTTAATTGCTGCTCAGTAACCAATTAATACAGCACAAAATAATAATAAAAAACAAACAATAGTCCATTTCTCTCTTTGTGCTTAAAAATAGGTGAAATTATCTTTTACATTAAAAACACAAGTAATAATTTTACATAAGAATAAATAAAAAATAGTATTTGTCTAATGCAGGGCTTAAAATTAACTTTTTTACTTGGTAGCACTGGTGTTCCTAACTTGTAAAATGTAGAAGCACCCACCAAAAATGAATGAGCACCAATAAATTGGCATATTTTTCACATACTGAAATTATTTCCAGTAATGATTATGAATATTAAAGCATTTGCAAATGGTAAATAGTGATAAATTATTTTTACACTTTGTTAGAATTGGTAATAATGGTAGATCCCATTTAAACTTATTGGCAGAAATTTGCACCTCAGTGTTGTATGTTTGCAATAAAAAAAAAGTATAAGCAAGAATGATAAACATGTTTGTAATTCTGACTGGCTCATCCAGACACAAGTGGACGGAGTTAGTATAAATAGCTTTAATATTAGGGCAGTCTCTTTGCACTTAGTGTAATTTAAGTAATAATATAGTTGAAATCAGAATTATTAAACCTCCTTTGAAATATATTTTTTCTTTTTTAAATATTTCCCAAATTATGTTTAACATAGTAAGGAAATTTTCACAGACAAAATTATCAGCCCCTATAAGCTATATTTTTTTCGATAGTTTACAGACCAAACCATCATTATACACTTATAACTTGCCTAATTACACTAACCTTAATCTAATTAACCTAGTTAAGCCTTTAAATGTCACTTTCACCTGTATAGAAGTGTCTTGGACAATATCTAGTAAAAATATTGTTTACTGTCATCATGGCAAAGATAAAATAAATCAGTTATTAGAAATGAGTTATTAAAACTATTATGCTTAGAAATGTGCTGAAAAAAATTTGCTCTCTGAAAAACAGAAATTCGGGTAAAAAATAAACAGGGAGGCTAATAATTCAGGGTGTTTAATTATTCTGGCTTCAACTGTAGATTCTTTTTCAAAAAGCATTTCCATTGTCATATGGTTGTTTTGCACTTCTCTTGTTTCCTGTGCCAGGTAATTCCTCTGATTGGAGAATATTTGGTCTTCACTATGATCTTCGTGACACTTTCCATTGTCATCACCGTCTTTGCTATTAACATCCACCATCGCTCCTCTTCCACCCATCATAGCATGGCTCCCTGGGTCCGCCGTATCTTTCTTCACCACTTGCCTAGACTGCTCTGCATGCGTAGCCACGTGGACCGTTACGCCACCAGCGCTGGGACTCGAACAGGAGGACTGGGCTATGGGAAGAGTTTGAGTCAGGATACCAACCAGCTCGATGCAGAACACAACCTGCAGGCGGCCTTAGAGTCTATACGCTACATCACACGCCATGTGGTGAAGGAGAATGAAGTCAGAGAGGTAAGGCTGATGTCTTTGATATACACAGTTAAAGGCTAAATTATTCGCCCTACTGTGAAATTTGAATTCTTTTTCAAATGTTTTCCAAGTGATGTTTAACGGAGAGGAGATTTAACACATTATAAACTAGTTATTAAATAATAAAACATGTAATAACTAAATTTCTTTTGTCTTTGCTATGCTGACATTACATATTGTTTTTCTAGTTAGTTTGCAAGATACTAGTATTCAGTTTAAAGAGCAAATTAAATACTTAAGTAGGTTAATTAGGGTAACTAGGAGAGTACTGTAGCCAGTAGAAATTTTTTTAAAATCTTAAAATTCTCAATGAAATCAACTGTACTTTCCAAATAGTAGTGTATATGTGCACTTCAGAGTGATGCAGTAGATATGCTGTCGCCTCCCAGCAAGAAGATCGCTGGTTTGAGCCTCGGCTGGGTCATTTGGCGCTTCTGTGTGGAGTTTGTATGTTCTTCCTGTGTTCGCGTGGGTTTCCTCCGGGTGCTACAGTTTACCCCACAGTCTAAAGACATGCGTACAGGTGAATTGGGTAGGCTAAATTGTCCGTATGAGTGTGAATGAGAGTGTATGGATGTTTCCCAGAGATGGGTTGCGGCTAGAAGGGCATCCGCTGCATAAAAACATAAATAAGTTGGCGGTTCATTCCACTGTGACAACGCCAGATTAATTAAGGGACTAAGCCAAAAAGAAAATGAATAAATTAATGAATGTGCACTTTGTTATTTAGTAAACAATCTCTCTCTAAAAATCCCTCTAAATGACTTTTCTTCACTTCTGGTCACATGGAATGCTTTTTGGGTGGGGCTATGAATCTATTCGTCCTCAAACCATTTATTATAATCTTCTAGAAATATATTCTTTTCTGCTTTGCATTACTGTGCGTTTTGGTTCTGTCGGTGTAATTTGCAAATGATCCCTAATATTGCGTGCGCGAATGTCTGGCAAATATCAAACTTAAAACCAACTTTACCGAGCTGTTTTTAGCCAAAGTAGCTGATAGATATCCTAAAAATGAATAATACTGATACTAACATCTAAAAAACTTTAATTTCATGGTGCCTTTAACAAGCACAAGTATAGATTTTAATAGTGCTTTAGTTAATGTTGAAATAAATAAATGCTTTACAAGAATTCATACTTAATGTAAGTAATTACATTAACTACAACTAATGGACCATTATCCTAAAGCGTTCCCATTTATTTTGCTAGCACACATTGTTATTGTCTATTTATTAATTAACAGTTTATCAAAACAATGTTTCTTTTGGTAACTTTTTAAATCAAATCTTACCATTTGCTTCCACTCTGGAATAGCAGTTCTTTATTGATGATGTCAGTTTGTGTGAAATTTTCTTAGCCACACCCCTTCCAACCATTAGTTTGCCATAAGTGAAAGATGAAAGAAGTGCAAAAATAAAACCCTGCCCACTACTCAGTGTTCCATTTAAATGGAAAATACTTTATCATGCTAAAATAGAAGTCTGTAGCAACTTGTTTTCATGCAGATTTTAACAACTTTAATTGTCATTCTGCAATTGTTGTGGGTGGCAGACTCTTTCGCTCTCTTTAGAAGTCAAAATACTAGTTTATTGAAACTTTACACAGCAGTTTGACTTTTTAGGCTTTTTTTCACAGGTTGTCAAAGTTAAAGTTGATCTAAAGCAATTTCCAAAAAATTACAATTCTGTCATCCTCATTCGAGACAACCCTACATTATTTTTTCAAAATTCAGGACCATTTCAAGTGGATGTACACCATGACAGAAAAAAAAGTAGGTGGATGATCTCATCCTTTTATCTGAACTTCTGTTCTAATGTCAGTTTTATTGCTGAAATTCAATTCAATTTATCTTTATTTCTATAGCGCTTTTACAATGTAGATTTTGTCAAAGCAGCTTAACTTAGAAGGTATAGTAAATTGAAACAGTGTCAGTCCAATTGTCAGAGTTGAAGTTCAGTTTAGTGTGGTTTAACTTCACAGCTGAAAGTCCAAACACTAAAGAGAAAATCCATCGATGCGAAGCTCCACAAGTGCCAAATAAAGCAAGCAAGTGGTGACAGTGGCAAGGAACAAAACTTTACCAATTGACGGAAGTGAAGGAGAAAAACTTAGAGAAAAACCAGGCTCAACTGGGCACAACTTGTGCAGAGCTGCAGTCTAGGCGCTGGAGGGCACTGCACGTCCATCGTCCACTTGAAATATATATATTGCAAATTTCTCCTCATTTAGGGTTATGATCATGCATGCAAAGTTTCAATTTGCTGATGTGTTTTAAAACAACCAAAAAAAAAAAAAACTGCTCGTAAACTGTTCGTGTTCTGTTCACCTATTGTAATGCTTTATAGCAACACTACATTACCCAAATAGTGACATATCTTGGTTATAACTTTGTTATTTTAGTTATTCACTAGCTTATGAAGCCAAAACAGGATATTTTCCCAACTTATTTTGAAGGTAAAGTATGTTTTGCTAGCCACAAATGATAAAAATGGCCTATCGGTTTTTTTTATCAAAATCAAACCACTGGCATATAATTTTGCAACATAATTTTGTAAATAATTTAAAAAAACGAATTCAAATTTCCCTGGGCAGCTGATAATTTCGCCTTCAACTGCATGTCTGCATGAGCTTTAATTTCTAATAAATTCTAATGTAATATCTAATTTCAGGTTGTTCAAGACTGGAAGTTTGTGGCCCAGGTTCTGGACCGGGTTTTCCTGTGGGCCTTTCTCTTAGTATCACTACTCGGCTCTGCTCTGCTTTTCATCCCTGTTATCTATAAATGGGCCAGCATCATTGTTCCCAGCTATGCTGAAATTACTAGCTAAACTACACGAATGTATACACTTCCAAACTTTTTGGCTTGAATAAAGTTTTTTGCATTATTATAGCATTTATTACTGTAGTCTTCAAAACATCTATGCAAATTGTGGCAATCATGCGCTGTCATTTAAGATGTAACATGCTGCATTCTATTCTCTGTTGTATGCTGATTTCATTATATTAAAGTTTACAATAAAAATATGTATTGTTCTTTGTGAAAAGATCATTTGTATCTCAGAGATTTTTCTTTTGAAAAATCTAAAGTATAAAAGAAAATTTGACTTGTCTGGTATTTAAAGTTGTATTATTTTTTTCTTAAACAATAAATAAAAACACATCTCTACCTAGTACATTAAGCTAGCAAAAGGAAACTGCTAATCATGTGATGCTTTTTAAAATGCATTCTGCCAATGTACATTTAAGAATTTTGTAAGTAGTAATTGGCCAGGAGATTCTTGGCTACTACTTTTAAATTACCTACTACTTGGATCTTGTACCATTTTCTACATTTCATACAAGGTAGGGAAATATGCAATTTTGAATTCATCATTGGTTGTGCTGCCCTAAATGTTAGCAAAAGGCTTTTAGTGGTCAACAAACGCACTGGAATCTTAGTGAATACTTGCTTCACAGACATTAGACATATATTCACATAAAGCTTTAAATCTGTACTTTTAAATGAATCAAGTGCACTTGAAAAAGTTTTGTAATCTGTATGAAACGAACGCGAGGTACAGTCCGTCCTGTCAAAAGCACACCACATGGGAGCAACTACTGAAATGCCCACAAACTAGTAAACAAAGAGTCATTGTCATTTCTGGAGGAGATTCCTTATCAACACTAAGTTGTGAGTTTCTTCAGAAGACCAGCGCGATCTGACAATTGTTATCCAGAGGATGATAATGTGTAGAACCATAAATGAGATTGGTGTCAAGATCTCATTGCTTTTAAGTGCGCATGCGCATTAGCTTTGACAACCTGAAAATATGCAGATTTACTTTGATTCGAACATTTAGAAACTAAACTTAAGAGACAGTTGATGTTTAATTTCATTGGCGGTTCCAAAAATGTACAGTAATGTAGTCGTAAGCTTGACAAACTGTTTTGGAGAATTTGATGTTTCCCCATTCAGACAGAATGCCCAAGCATACTACCCGAGAGGCGTTTCAAAGATGGTCGGTGAGTGAAATGACTTGCCTTAACGGCACTTTGGCAGTACGTCCACGTTCCATTTATACTACTGAAATGCATACTCTTTAGCAGGGGTTCTCAACTGGTTTGGCCATGGGACCCACATTTTTACATGGCCATTAAGCCGTGACTCAAATTTTTAGGAACTATAATACAATTTTAGGAATTATAATTCATTTGTATTAATTTGTTAACACACAAGAAGTGACAGATAAATCATAAGAACATCACCAATGATATTTTTTGCTGCCATTTAACAAAATGTATCGAATTATAGAAATATTACAAAGTAAAAATGACAAATACTGTAAACAGTGGATAGGGGAAGGAAAGGTTCAGTTACCAAGAACTAAACAGTTAATAAAGCATGTTGTCTTTTTAATTAAGAAGGTTTCTTGCTCTCTTGTGAGAGCACCTCACTACTTATGGCACACTGAGGCTTTTTTGTCATCAATATATGTAAATCCATACTTTACATATTTGGGGTCGTACTTGCGATTTAATATATTTGTTGCTTTAATTAAATTAAATTTCACATGTCAAATGGTAAGGTTGTCGTGGAAGCATTTCAAAATAAAAGTCAAAATAAGTAAAACACACACTCCGCGACCCACTGAAAATGTTCCTGTGACCCACCAGTTGACAAACACTGCTCTATAGAACTTACTTTTCTAATGGCCAAGTAGTACGTTTAAATCCGAATTTAGTACCTACTGAGTAATAGGCGATTTCAGACACAGCCATACGCCTATACATATGTTTTCTTCTTTGTTTATTTTCTCCTGCGACAGAAAGAGATTTTTTTTATCATAGATCTTTAATGAATTTCAGTCACATCAGTCAGTCATAATGTAGCTTTGCATAGATCCTGCAGCAGCTTGTTAATGTAATATAGGATTTCACTGAATCATTTATTTTATTAAAATATTTTTTAGAAAAATAAATAAATAAAAAGAAAAAGAAGAAATTAGCCACATGGTTTGATTAGACTTGGGCTGGCCCTGGGCCCTGACCCCTTTAAACTTCACTGGTTCCACTAAGTGCAACAAAAAACAGCCTAATGAGAAAGACCCAGTGTTCCCTATTTACCAGTCCATCCCAGCCAAAAACAATGTGTTTATTTCATTGTGTTTAAGTAAACATAATTACACAGCCTAAGTGAGTACTTTGAAACAACATGAATAACGCTCAACAGACAAATGTGAGTGCATTTTGCTCAGCTTCTTTTTAATAATTTATTCATTACTTACAAGTAATGCTTCACCGTGGTTCAAGGGTTAACTGTCTGTTATCCAAATTCCAGTTCCTCCCTCCGCAAACATTCACTCAGTCTCAGCAAGCTCACTGGCTTCATCTAAGGGTAAGAGGACATTTTTATTAAATAAATTAAAAATGTAGATTATTTTTTAATATTGTCTGTTCAGAAATTTCATCACTATTGAGAGGTGCTTTTCATAATATTACTGTATTAGTGTTTTTAGGTTCTTGTACTCCCACATCTTCTGAACTCTTCTTTCACATCTCTGTTTCTTTCTGTTTATAGTAACAATTTAAGTTGTACTTCAGGTAACTATATGACTACATGGAATTCACTTTTTGGAGATACTTTAGTGACTGGCAACTGTTTAGGTGCAAAAACTAAATAGTAATCCGGTTAATTCTGGTTTTTAATGTCTTAAAGAAAAAAAAGTTGTATTATCTGTGTTTTCAAGGGTATTAAAATAATATGAAGAATTAAATCAAATGTTTCTTGTAGTGTAGCATAGGCGAGTTATGTTAATCCTAGCCACCAACTTCAGCAAACAGATCTGCAAAACAATGAGCTCATTTGAGATGACACCTCGCCTTGAATGTAGATGAGAGTAACTGCCTACAACCAGAGACCAAGGAGACGTACAAAAACTAAATAAAGCTGTCAAAAGATCAGCTTATCATAGCGGACAAATTGTGAGAAAATGCAAAAAAAAAAAAAAAAAAAAAACTATTTTTTGATTATAAAAAGAATAATAATAATAATAAAAACTTTACATTAAACTGCAACAATGACTAAAAATGCTGCAGCATGTCATGTTAAATGCCCCTTTAGTGGTAGATGATTTCATCCCCGTGACTGTATTTGTTCCGCAGAGATATTGCTCTCAATGAGATTGCTAAAACAGAATTGACCTCAGGGAATGAGATTGGTAAAAGGTAAATGACCCAGATCCTCCCCAACCTAGGTGGACAGATAGTACTGCCCTAAACTCACACCACTGGTTGACGCAGTGTTGCTGTTGTACTTTAAAAGACATTTTGTATTCAAAATCTTTATTGAAATATAATTAATTAATAATAATAAAAATCCTCCTTCCCATTGAAAGTCACAAACTTTTTTGACACAAGATAAGGTGGAAAAACTGTTGCCACAATTACAATGTTTAAGAGTCCCTCACAAAGAGATTAAAGGATTAGTTCACCCAAAAATTTACACCTGTTGATAATTACTCACCCCTTTTGTTGTTACGAACCCCTGAGACCATTATTCATCTTCAGAACACAAATTAAGGCATTTTTGGATGAAATCCGAGAGCTCCCTAATCATCTATTAACAGCAATGGTCGCAACTCATTCAAAGTCAAGAAAGGTACCAAAAACACACCAAAGACCAAAGGAATATTGCACATAGTTAGTTTGGGTTTATACCCTGATAAATTCATTTAGTTTGAGCAAACAAATTTTTTTTCAGCCGCAATGAGGTTTTTTTTTTTTGATAGTAACCACATGGCATGTGTTGCACAAAATAAGCAGAACAAACTCACTCAGAACTAACCCAATCTAAAAAAAAAAAAAAAACTCAGGAGTTTCCCACCTCAGAGTAACTTAACTCAGACTTAACCTCCTTATTAAAACAGACCCCAGGGCCCAGAATGCTTGACATTGTCAAATAAGGGTTTAACCTTGAGTTCATGATTAACTGTGGACTGCATGACAATCACATGACACAGACAGAAGATAGAAACACTGCAGATTAAGCAAAAGTTTGAAAATCAACTTATATTATTATATAGATGTAGATCAATCAACTGATAGTAATAATGTAGGATCACCAATAGCTCAAGATTCAGTCATTTTAAAAGCTTTATGTAATAAAGCAAATCCATATGTGAATATTTAAAAATTATTTTTAAATCTAAATCATTATTAATGTTAATTGACAATTTAAAACACACACACACACATATATATATATATATATATATATATATATATATATATATATATATATATATACATATATTATTTATCAATTTTTTCATTCAAATATGAGTATTAATAATTAAAATTCACAGAATTGCCATCAATTATTAAAAGCAAAAGATAAAAGATTTGGACTCTAATATGCCTTTAGTGTGAAAGGCTTTAAATTGCATGAAATGTCACTTTACTCGCGACTGATTGACTATAAAACCTGCGGATTTTCTTGTAAGAAAAAACACAAGCTGACCATCTTATGCTTCGTGTGATTGCATGTCACACTTTCAGGTTCATGCAGTCCAGAGTTAATTATAAACTCTGGGTTAAACCAAGATTTGTTAAGTTTATTTTTAAGCTAATTTCGAGTGGATCACGTGCTTATGATTGAACACAGCTGGTCCAGCATTAGCTATTATATTATTTACAAATTAGATGAATCCAAACACACATAAATACCAAGATTTTCTTACCGTTGTCATCTTCATCTCGAAGAATCAGCCCATCAACCCTTACTCCGTTTCATAGATTGATCCAAGACAGGGCGGCGAAGCGGCTCAGTTGTTGACAGCGGTGCCTCACAGCAAGAAGGTCGCTGGTTCAAGTCCCGGCTGGGCCAGTTGGCAATTCTGTGTGGAGTTCTCCCCATGCTCGTATGAGTTTCCCTTAGGTACTTCGGTTTCCTCCCACAGTATAAAGACATGCAGTATAAGTGAATTGACTAAATTGGCACATTCTATAAGTGTTTTAGTACTGGGCAATTGCTGCCTAACCATGTGATGGTGTAGTTGGCAGTTCATTCTGTCGTGGCAAGCCCTAATAATCAAGGAATGAGCAGAGCGAACAAATTCGGGGAACCTCTTGAGACATACCTGAGATCACACTCTCCTCTCTCCTGATGAAACGGGAGGGAGCCCCAGGCTCAAGGCTCTCTCTCGGGACAGCATGCCAAAAATGCTTCATTATCAATCAGCAGCTAAGTGTAAACTCTTGAAATAAAATTTATATCAAGCATTTTGAAACCACTTATATTTAATCAGGTTGGATGTGGTCAGGGTTTTTCTCCAAGTTTGTTCAACTCATTTTTTTGCATTTTTGTCGTAGTTAATTTTACTAAATACCGTTAACATCAGCTTGACTTGCGACATAAATATCAAACAAAGAATTCGAACATAATATAATAATTAAAACTGTTCTTGCATTGTTTATTTAAGGAATCCAATGGATCTAAGAGGGTACTTCAACAGGATTGGGTTTACTGGCCCATATGACAAACCTGACCTGGATACTTTACGCACCATCCACATGCTGCATGTGATGAAAATTCCATTTGAGAACTTGAGCATCCACTGCGGAGAGAAGAACACGACAGACCTGAACATCATCTATCATAAACTGGTGAAAAGCAATCGGGGAGGCTGGTGTTGTGAAAACAACCTCCTGTTCTCATGGGTCCTAAAGGAGATGGGTTACAAATACACCACACTAGGCTCTAAGGTGTTCAACAAGTTCCAAAATGATTTCTATCCCGTTGACTCTCACCTCATCAACATGGTAGAGATTGATGGGAAGTTTTACCTTACAGACGTGAGCTATGGAGTGTCATGCCAACTGTGGTATCCTTTAGAGATGATCTCGGGTAAAGATCAGCCACAGCCTCCCGGAGTATTCCGGCTCCTAAAAGAAGGGGTGAGGTGGACTCTGGAGAAAACGTCAAGAAAGCAAGTGGTCAAAGATAAGGCCTATGCTAATTCCAGCCTCATTGACAAGCGCCTGACGAAAACAATGTACAGCTTCCCGTTGACACCTCGTGCTAAAGAGCATTTTGTGGATACGCTGGATTGCCTGCAGACTAGTCCTGATTCTAGATTTGTGCTGAAGTCTATTTGCTCCCTTCAGTTACCTGAAGGCTTCAGAGCTCTGATCGGGTGGACTTACAGTGAGATCACCTACAACCCAGAGGACGACTCTGACATGGTGGAAATGAAGGAAATCCCCAATTGTGACATAGAGACTGTGCTGAGGGAGAAGTTTAATGTGGTGTTAGTTAATAAGCTCACTCCTAAAAACAATAAAGCTAATTATTGCATGTAATACTCAACAGAACAGTACAATTTCACACTTTTATTAGTTAATATTTAATTTTGATAGTCCCCCTTGATGTTATGTTGACTATAAGTAAATTAGCAACTATGAGTCTACTACCTGTCATTAGAATTTTAGTAGACTGATTAATATCTGCCAACATTTCTTTTGGCAAGTTAGTCTTACAGGAAATTAAATCAATTGTAACTTTAGCAATGGGTTTTTGGGGTAGGTCAACCAATGATATGTTTTTAACATGATAGATCACCTTCCGACTTCAATGTGAAAACAATCATAGTCACTTTATATTGAAGTTTCCACTTTAAAGGGTCTTTGGAATTAAGTATTTTCTAAGGGTACAGCTGATGGACACTAAAAGCAAAGTTAATCTGGGGTAATCTGGGGTCACCAAACCTGTTCCTGGAGGGCCGGTGAGGCAAGTTGGAGCTAAACTCTGCAGGGACACCGGCCATCCAGTACAAAATTGGTTACCGTATTGCATTCAAACATGTCACATTTGAACTCTTCCAAAGAATTAGGGCAGGGGTGTCCAAACTCGGAAGCCAGTGTCCTGAGTTTAGCTTCAACACACCTGCCGGGAAGTTTCTATATCTAGTAAAGCTGCGGACACACTGCATTTTTTCCCCCATAGACTTCCATTCATACACACGCGAATGCATCAGACCGGAAACGCAAGGTCGTGCATCAAGTTTCGCAGATCGCTGTGTTGGAAAGTTCTACATTGGTGAACTCTGACCTGCAAAATTGCATCACTTGAGTGTGTGAGACCATGCGAAGATCAAAACATGCCCTCTATTGACAGAAATTTAAAATATGGAGCAATTGCTGGCTTTTTAAAATGTTAAATTATTTTGTACTCTCCAGGACACCAACCCTCCAGGACAGAGTGTGGACACCTCAGGATTAGGGCATAGGGATGAGCCATTCTGAATGAAACACAATTTAAAAATACCTTTCAGAGCAGGGTGATCCAGTACAATAAGAACAAAGTACTACTTATTTAACAAAAACACAACTTTGATTACAGTGTCCCCCAATATTCAGGTGATGCCGTTGATGAATACATTGCTTATATTACATCGCATAATTATTTTCAGTGCAGTTTCTACAGCTGGAACAAATGCAACAAGAAAAAATGGCCCCAAGGCAAATCGTTCTCAATGACCACCCAAACAATGGTGCAGAAGTACATAATCTTAAAGCTTTAACTATAATCTCTACTATAATCTGAGAAATCTGACATATTGTACAATTAAATATAGTCAACAGAATGTTTAGTGTAAAAATAAATAAGTAAATATGTGCAAATTAAAGTTACTTACAATTAGAAAACAACAATCAATGGGGAAAAATACTTATGGCTGCCAAATGTTGTAGTTAAGACATCTACCACCAGAGGCTGACAGTGGCATGAAAAACAGGCAACAGAACGACCAATTACTTGTTTATAAACATAATAATAGGACAAGAAAAGTTACTGTGAAAGCCTATGAATTTTTATGTTATGATATATGATAACTGCAGCAGTGATTCTTTGTCTCAGCTTTGCTAATGATTAAGTATGTGTGTAGATTAGCAATGATTTCACTTATGTTTAGTGGTTGATAGAACCCTGCTCTAAAAAACAGAATGTACATGGATTAAATAAAACTCAATTGTTTGTGCAAACTTTGTTTTTTGACTATTTTGTCTTTTTTGTTTTTTGACAAATTTTAATGTCATTAGTTTTATTTATAAAATGTTTTAAACTTTTTTTGTGTATGAATTAGGTTGGCATTTAATGTATGCAAAATCCAGGTTCAATTACTCCATAAAAACAGAATCTAATTAAACTTTTACCTCATTACCTGCTAATAGAGGCTGTAAATGATTGCTGAGGCCCCTGATGAAATAGCACATTGATAATTCAAATAAGTTACCATCTACAGGTCAGGTTAACAATATAAAATCAGCAGTTTTGAGCTTCAAATAGTAAAGTGTTACTCTTGATAAAAACATAGACCTCAACTTTTTCACTAATCTTGATATTTCAGATTAAAAAGTAAATAATTACAGAGCCTCAAGTAAATTATTAAGTATTAACAAAGGTATATATATATATATATATATATATATATATATATATATATATATATATATATATATATATATATATATAAAATAAACCATGTACATGTACAGTACAACCATCACGCAAATGTCAATTCAAAATGGTTGTGGTTAAATTCTACTAACTTAATATTATAAACAATATAATAAATGTTTCTCAAATATTTTTGGATATTTTTCTTTATTGTCAATAACACATTGAAATTAAACATTATACATTCTGATTTAAAGCAAAAAATTATAATCAAACATTTCATTTGCATTTCATTGCAAAAATCTGATAAAAAAAACAAAAAAACAATCAAAACATTTGGGGTGTTCGAATGAAAATTGGCTGAATCAGATGTTTAATTAGGTTTGGAGCTAAAGTGTGTAAGACATTGGTCCTCCATGAACAAATTTACACATCTCTGCCTTAAAGGCTATTAAGCAAATGTATAAAAAGAGTCAAGCTTCTAAAGCTGATAATTTTATGGTGGCAAAACAGGATTTTGGACATGCGTCAACTGAACAGCACACTTTAAAAGCGTGATTCAGTTTGAAATTAAAAGAAAAGTGATCTAACAAGAAAAATAATTAATGAGAATTTAATTCTCTGGACATAAGTGAAATATAAAAGGCCACATGATTAAAAAAATAAAAAGAAAGTAGATAAACATAATCAGGAAAGGCATGAAAAACAAGAAATGCTTTTCATAAAATAGCACCAAGGTCAACAATCAAATCTTGTCTTTAGAAGTGTGCTTCGGTATGAAATTCAAAGAAAGTGTTCTCACGTGAAAAAAAATATATATATTGTTGAATTCTCTCTGCAGAATTCTCTGAACACTGGTTTGATAAAGTGCCAGATGATTTAAAACAATAGAAAGTAGATGAAGATCATTCATTTTCCCAGGCAATGTAATAAATTCAATAAATTAATGAGGAAATGCTTTTCATTACATATTACACGAAACAATCAAATGTCATCTTGTTTCTTAATTTCAGTCCTCACACCCTTTACTACTCTTCACATGTTGTATGTTTCTCTTATTAGGTGTTTGTTGTGACCATATATATATATATATATATATATATATATATATATATAATCCACCATGATGGAGCACGTGCCTTTTTAAGGCATTTTACTTTGCGATATGCAAATTGAAATGATATTTGTATATTATGGTCACACTTCTCTAATAAGCGTCATTCATTAGAGTGTAGATCTAGGGAGCAATGAACACTATAGGGAACCTACCAATCGCACCACAATTCACACATGGAACTCTATTCTGAACTTGTCTGAATCAGTGTTTAAATAAATATGCAGAGCAGTTAAGTGCAAGGACTAAAGCTGATCTCTCACTCAGTTTTCCGTTTTCTGCTGCAGCACTTAATGCACACATATCGAACTACATAAAATATGGAGAAGATGAATATCAAAACAACTGCAATCAGTGTAACTGCAACATCTACGGAGTGATAGGAGTACCAAGGCATTTTGTAGGATTCTGTACGGAGATGAGCAGCACCTTTGTGCCTCATTACAAACTCAATCCAGAAGATGGCGCTGTCCAACGGTTTGACTGGCTTGTCTAGGTGCAATTGAGAGAGCTTCTGCATAGTCAGCCTGTAGGATGGATTGTTGATTACTTCCTTTATTGCTGCATGCAGTGAGTTTTCACCTAATTCTGCAAGGGAGACTATCTTGGCTCCACCTCTTGCTTGTAATCGAATGAGATTGTCATACTGGTCAAAAAAGAAAGGAATTCCAACCACTGGAACACCATGGTACAAAGCTTCCTGAACCCCATTGGTTCCACCATGCGCAACAAAGACTTTAGTTTTTGGATGTCCTAGAAGATCTTTCTGTGGCATCCAGTCAACTAATAATGTGTTGTTGCCCAAAGTAGATGGCTTCTTTCCAGTGTATCTCCAAATAACCTTTTGAGGCAACCGGGCAAAAGCAGCAGCTATTTCTGCTGTTACATCTTCTGGCAATGCACTAATAAATGTACCTAAAGACATGACGATGACTCCATGATCTCCAGAACTCTGCATGAAGTCTTCCAGATCATGTGGAAGGGGCTTTGCTGGAGTGCACTGGAAGCCACCGGTGTAGATGATATTTGGCATTGTCGGACGTGGAAATTCAAAAACAAAATCAACCCTCATGAGCCATATATCAGCCCCCTGCAGAAGTTGATAAAAATCTACAGGTGGATCGAAATATTTATCACAAATTGCTTGATACTGTGGCAAACTAAAACGGCTGTATTTAATATCATTTGTGAAATAAAAGATTATATTTTTCACTCTTTGGAAGAAGCTCATTCTGTCTGTGTTTCCAGATCCTGTAATTGGGATGTAGGACATTGGCGAGGGAGCTATGTTAAAGTGTCCATCTACAGTAGTAGTCCATCTCACATTATAGACCATGGGTAACTTGAGTTTATGAGCCAGAATGATGCCCATACCCCATACTGGATCAGTGAGCATCAGATCATACTGCTTTTCCTGTAGTGTTTTCAGAATTTCCTCACTTTCGAATATGCTCGTTGTAATATCGCATACCATTTTAGTCATTTCATAATTGTCTATAACTGAATCAAAAAACAACTTTACAGTGCTCAGCCAGGAGCTTTTTCCTCTTTCATGGTTGATTACTTTGGAGATCATGTCGTCTACAAATTCTTCGTCCATTCCTTTGGATTGTGGTATGGTTATGGAGTTGTAATAATCAGATTTCTCCTTGACATACCAGCTATTGGTGTTACGTATTACATCAATGCTATGCCCTTTTCCATGTAAAGCCTTGATGAGGATGTCCATGTTCAACCAGTGACTTCCCTCCAAAGGCACCACCAAGATTTTGCCACCATCGCACAGAAATCCAAAAAGGGGTATGATTGTTATCCAGAGTGAGACAGAACAAAGGTTCTTAAAAAGTGGTGCCATCTTGCCTGTAAAGGTAAAAGTAAATGTATTATATTAAACTGTTAAATAGTATTTCTGTAGTTAATTTTCTTTGGTAATGTTGTCGATAGTGCTCTAACACACAAAGCACTAATAAAATAAAATAAATTATATACAGGTAGACTATAGCCTAGTGTATTTTCAACAAATTGTATGAATGTCTTGTAAGTAGGCATTTTAGCTGTCTTCATTTGTTTTAAAACAAATGAAGACAGCAGAAGTCTATAAATGTTTTTAAATTATTTTGCTCGACATGTTAACTGCTCCAAATTATTTAAATTTAAATTGTACAAATGTTTCCCCTATTAAATATATTGTTTAAAGGGGAAAGAGGTTTTGTTTTTTTACCCAGACATTGAAAAATAATATATTTTAGAGCAGTAATCTTAACACAGTGATACTGTAACACCGTGATATTTATATCCAAGGTTATCATAACGTCAGAATCTTATACCAGCCCATGCCTACTTGTAAGCAATAATTATAACGATTTAAACAAAAAATAAAAAAGAAATATTACACAATTTTATTACACAAATATTAAGAATCATTTAAAAATGTACACAGTTGAATTTATCATTTAACCTTCATTACCTTACAGATATGACAAATAAAAAAAAAAAAAATGAAACAAAACTTCTTTCCCTATTTAATGTTCATTGTTAACTCAAGGATGTATAACGGCAACCAAAAATCCTTTTTTTTTTTTTGTCTATCTAAAGTAAAACTTTCTGTAAAACTGCAATGTGTTCAAGTCAATAAAACCATCACTACCCATGAAACTGGTGCAATATATCAATTATCAAAACAAAAATTGATGCAAGTGCAAAAAATAAGTGTAGTTCTTTCCCTGGTCTCAGCTGTTATACCACGCATCCCCAATGAACATGTGGCTGAATGTCTGACACATATGGCACTTTTATGGAAATTTTTCAGTAGATTTTTAATCATCCTTTGGTTTAAATACAGAATTTCCAAGAGTGCAGTATTCTTAAACAATCTGCACGGAAACAAGTTTAAACTAATAAAAAAAAAAAAAGCTGTGATGACAAAGCTCATTAACACATTTATATTAAAAGCAGCATTCTTAACAATGCAAGACTCACATCCTGTTTTTTTTTAAATGTCCAATTGTGTGCTTGAGGCACTTAAATATAATCTAAAAGAGAAATTTAAGTTTTTTTGCCATCTGGTTTGTCATAATTTTTAGTTTCCTTAAAGATTCAATCTTATAACTAACACCACCGTGTATGCGGGTCAAAGTTGAAGGACAGACTCAGACACAGTGGATAGACATTTCAACCTGATCTCACAAGAAAACAAGTATTTTACGTTTTGCCAGTTTAATGGCTAATTCGTACGAAAATTTAAGACTTTAAAAAGGAGGCGTGGCACCCAACCCCACCCCTAAACCCAACCGTCATTGGGTGATGAGAAAATCGTACTAAAATATACGAACTAGATCGTATGAATTGATACGAATTACCCATTGCCAGGGCCAGACGGAATCTGCAGACGTTTTTAGCTGTTTCTGCTGAGAAATTTGGTAAAAATCTGCGGATTTCTGCTGAATTATTTTGGGAGTATCCAGCGGAGTATCATAACCAAAACCTTAATATATGACATAAAAAGTAATAAATTACTGAATTAAAACTGAATATATTTAGAATCACACATTTACTCAAGTAAATAAAAAGAATTAATGAAGGGCTAAAAATTTGCGGAAAATCTGTGGAATTATGCGTGCGCAGATTCCTTGTGGGCCTAGCCATTGCTATGAGATAGTGTTGAACATTTAGTGGAGTGTCTAGTTCTGCAGAACCAAAAGAGTGGCAAGACACACTCAAAAAATGACTTTTGCTGCTTGTTTAAACTACTTAATTAAAATGAGCTGAAACAACACAAGTCAGGACAACTTGTTTTATGTTCAACAATTGTTTTATGCTCAATCCACTTAAATTAGTAAATAAATAAATAAATAAATAAATAAATAAATAAATAAGTTAACTTAATTTGTGTTGGGAGAACATGAAGGAAATTTGTGGAGCCGAGCATTTCTACAGTGTATTGTCAAAACAGATGTGTTGTATTGACATGACTGTTAGTGAAGTGCACAGCATTGTACAAGAATGAGAGTAATAGCATTTATAATTAAATATCTGGGCATTTTAGTAAAAATATCTTCTGATACATTTATGAATCAATGATTTACCTCTCCTGCACACTCATCTGTTGCTGTGAGGATAACTTTGGTGATGAAGAGTAATTATCAGTTTGACTATTCGCTGGGCTATTAACCATATGTGTGGTTCTCTTCATAAATATTTTAACCCACCTGATGTCAGCAATCATGTATGTGCGCTTATACTCACAACTTTTTATGATGGCAATAAAAAAAAATCTCATTTTCTGTCATACAGATAAGAGTAAGCCATTGTGTAAAATGGTAAACCTTTTTTTTCATTTACTTTACACAAACATTTGATTTTATAAAACACAGAAAACTAAAGGTTCTCATTGTTTACCACAGTATGTGTGATCTTTTTGTAAAAATGCATCACCAAAATAATAACTGAAAGTCAGGAAAAAAATAATAATAAAAAAAAAAAAAAAATATATATATATATATATATATATATATATATATATATATATATATATATATATATATATATATACATTTTGCTGACAAAATTAAAACAGAATATACATTTAACAACAGATTTCAATGACAAAACAAATAGATCAGAAACATTTACTGGTTCTGCAGATGGCATTAGAAAAAAATGTAAATTATTCTAATAAAAACAACTAGTGGCGTGTCTGACTTCTATCAAGAAAATAAATAAAAAAGAAACACACATTGGCTGAACTATGACACCGAAGCAGTTAAATCACTTTGAATTTAGCCAATATTGCTAATGCTAACTCCATACTCTCACAATGAACATAGCTTTATTGCATTACGAACATGCAAAACAGTTAATAAAAAAATATAAAAAGATCAGTTTGATGCAGTAACGTTAGTTTATTCGCTTACACGTGACCAATGCCCCATGGGAGTTAACGTTCATCTCATTTCCCTTCTGATACAATAAGCAAAGAATTGTTTGATTAAATTTTTACAACATTTGTTTAAATACTTCGTTTACTTAATAAATAGTCATTTAAATCAACACTCACTGTCAGCTTCAGATCCTCTAACAGACTTGGAACTCAACAGGATTCACTCGCAAGTGACAACACATGCTGGGAGAAGAAAACACATTGAAGGCGGGGGAGGAGTTACACTTGCAGCTTCCCGTAGCGAAGCTCACGTGGTGTTTGCTGACTTTATGACAGAGGTGGATAGACTTTTATCAGAAAGGAGGTTAGAGAATTACTTTCCATAAAGTCTTTTAAGTACTTTGTTACTGCTTAATATAAAGTGATCATGTTTAAAAGATAGAATCGAAAATGAAAATAGGAAACATTTCAAAGATCAAAATATTACTTGAAACCAACTGTTTAAATATACCTAAACAAAAACTATGAAAATGGTTAAATTCAAGGTTATTTGTTCTGCGCCTTTATATTTTTTATAAATACTTTTCATTTATTTTCAATTATGACAATAGGAAAGCTTGTAGTACCCCGGATTAATAAAGGTACTAAGCCAAAAAGAAATGGAAAGCTTGTAGTTTTAACACCAGGGTTATAATAACTGGCATATGCTTCTGTTTGTTCAGTTCTAATAAGGGCCTATTTATCTAGGCAGGCCAATTCTATAAATAACCAAACTCATTTAGCATTAGACCACAATGATTTTTTTTTAAAATACACTGAGCAGATGGCAGTTTGCAACAATGTTTACTGTTAATATATATATATATATATATATATATATATATATATATATATATATATATATATATATTTTTTTTTTTTTTTTTTTTTTTTGCACATTTGAAATCAGATACTGATATCATTTGTACAGAAAAAGTGTTCAGCATTCTCTCAACACTGACTACTTTTATACACTTGCTAAGATAAAAAAAAAAAAAAACTATTACACAAATAATAATTTGACTCAGTTTCCAATTAATGGCTCATTTTCTCTGAGTGGTATGGTTTGGTTCGGTATGCTTTTAAGGCCGTTTCCACTGTCAAAGAGAACCTAAAAGCAACCGTACCATACTACTTTTTAGGGTGCTTTCATACCTACACTTTTGTTTCGGAACGTATCTCGTTTGCCCAGTTAGCACGGTTCGATTGGCATATGTGAACAGGGCAATCGCGCTCTGTTCCACGCCAAAGTAATCGCTCCGAGATTGCTTGAGTGAGGTGGTCTCGGCTCGATTGAAACGAACCCTGGAGCGGTTCGATTGCAGTGAGAAAGCGATCCGATCCGAGCGCGGTTATATCACAGTGTTTTATGGATATGTAATAGGCTTACGGCTATATGAAGAGAGAATTATGAGTAGGGCGGGAAGTTTCGCGAGTCTCCGGATGCCCGCAAACGAGTGATGATCTCCCGGTAATCTCACGTCTCCCTCCCGATCCTCAAATAGGCATCGTTGTGCACCCTTTTCTCCCCTCCCAACCGTGTCTCTCCTCAGACACGTCGCGCGCGCACCCTGTCAATCACCACCAAACCACCACCTCTCCTGACACTGACACTCTGACCAATGTAGAGAGAGTTTACTCGCACGTGACTTGTTTTAGCTCTTTTGGTCAGATTAGAAACTTTGCAGTGTGAAAGCGAACCGCACCAAGAGCAAAGAGCAACAATGTAAAAATTGTAATCTCTGTTTCGAAACAACTGAATCGATTCACAGGTGTGAAAGCACCCTTAGTCACCCTTTGCAAAGGGTACCAACAGGCCTAAAGGGTACATACAATAAGGCTGAGCTAGAAGCGCAGCTGAACGCTATTGGTTTATAGAGAAGCGTCACTAGGGCGTACACAAGCCAGGAGAATGAAAACAAAGAGACGCAATTTTTAAAAAGAAAGCCAAGACATTACACCGTAATAATATCTAAATATAATAACAAGCCATGGTCGACCCAAGCTCAAACAAACCTTGTTGTCGTCTGAACTTGGTTCAGTGCCCATTTTCGTTCACTGCTTTATCAAAGTTCAAAAAAGCTGATAAAAGTTCATATTATGGAATGACAGATCACCTGAGAAAAGATAAATATTCATAATTCATCTTAATGTGTTAAAATGTGTGTAAGGAGAATGTTATATGCATGTGTCAAGGTAATACGTTGATACACACACAAACACACATCCTTTGCTAAAACCAAAGTTTCTAGTAGATGTACAAATGGTGATTTAAATGTATCCCTTTTTAAAGAGTGTTTTAAAATATGTGTGTAATAAGACAATTTCACTGTAAAGTCTTAGAGAGTGATTGTGAAAATTCTTAATTTTAAATGCTTACTTATTTTCAGAAGAAATAAAAGTATAAATGAATTTTTCCATTAAGTTGCGCAGGGATTCAATTGATTTGAATGGAGTTTCACAGGAAATAAAATATTTACATAAATTAAAATCTGTATGTATATTTTTTATTATATCATTTTTATCACCCATTGAACAGTAAAAACAAATCATATATGTCACTTATAAATGATGCACTTTATAGTTCAAATGGTTCAATCAGTTTTTCTTTTTCAGCTACAACATTTGACACAAAACATTTTCAAAGTATACATTATTTTTTGTCAAACACTGAACATTGTCAAATTATTATATCACTTGTAAAAGGTTACTCAGTTTTTCTTTTTTGGCTACAACACTTGACACACAGATATCTAACTGTTACAAATATGCAGTAAGTTAATATCAAAACAACTGCAAACAGAGTAACTACAACATCTACTGAGTGATAGGAGTACCAAGGCATTTTGTAGGATTCTGTACGAAGATGAGCAGCACCTTTGTGCCTCATTACAAACTCAATCCAGAAGATGGCGCTGTCCAAAGGTTTGACTGGCTTATCTTTGTGCAGATGAGAGAGCTTGTGCATATTCAGCCTGTAGGATGGCTCATTGATTACTTCCTGTATTGCTGCATGCAGTGTGTTTTCACCTAGATCTGCAATGGAAAGCAACTTGGCTCCACCTCTTGCTTGTAATCGAATGAGATTGTCATACTGGTCAAAAAAGAATGGGATTCCAATCACTGGAACACCATGGTACAAAGCTTCTAGAACCCCATTGGTTCCACCATGTGAAATGAAAACTTTAGTTTTTGGATGTCCTAGAAGATCTTTCTGTGGCATCCAGTCAACCATTAATGTGTTGTTACTCAAAGTAGATGGCTTCTTTCCAGTGTATCTCCAAATAACCTTTTGAGGCAACCGGGCAAAAGCAGCAGCTATTTCTGCTGTTACATTTTCTGGCAGGTTACCGATTAACGACCCTAAAGACATAACGATGACTCCATGATCTCCAGAACTCTGCATGAAGTCTTCCAGATCATGTGGAAGGGGCTTTGCTGGAGGGCACTGAAAGCCACCAATGTAGATGATATTTGGCATTGTCGGACGTGGAAATTCAAAAACAAAATCAACCCTCATGAGCCATAAATCAGCCCCCTGCAGAAGTTCATGAAAATTGACACGTGAAGTGAAATATTTGTCACAAATTGCCTGGTACTGTTTCACATTAAAATGGCTTAACTGAAGGTCCAATAACAAATAGAAGAAATAATTTTTTAGTCGTTGAAAGAAGCTCATTCTGTCTGTGTTTCCAGATCCTGTAATGGGGATGTAGGACATTGGTGAAGGAGCGATGTCAAAGTGTCCTTCTCCAGTAGTAGTCCATCTAACATTATATACCATGGGTAACTTGAGTTTATGAGCCAGAATAATGCCTGTACCCCATACTGGATCAGTGAGCATCAGATCATACTGCTTTTCATTCAGCATCTTCAGAATTTCCTCACTGTCGAGTATGTTTGTTATAAGCTGACACACCATTTCATGAGTTTTTTTGACAGCATCAAACACATTTAAATACAGCCTTACAATACTCAGCCAGGAGCCTTTTTCTTTTTCGTATTTGATCATTTTGTAGACGAAGTCTGCTGCAAATTCCTCGTCCCATCCTTTAGTGTTAGGTATGGTAATGGTGTCATAATATGTTGAGTTCTCCTTAATGAACCAACTATTGGCATTGCGTATCACATCAACGGTGTGCCCTTGACCATGTAAAGCCTTGATGAGGATGTCCATGTTCACCCAGTGACTTCCCTCCAAAGGCGCAACCAAGATTTTGCCACCATCGCAAAGAGAACCAAAAATTGTTATTACTGTTGTCCAGAGTGAGACAGAAACCATATTATTTGGAACTCGTGTCATCTTACCTGCAAATGACAAAAAATTTAGATGACATAACTGTATAATGTTATTATATGATGTGCAGTAATTCACAGCAAAAATACTAAATAAACAAAAGAAAAAGTTTATTTCTTTTACACTATCTAAATGCTATAATCAACTTGCTCTGATTCATGTTTAGCGTAATCACAAATTTACACTGATTAACAAACTAAAACTATGTCTGGTCCCCTAGAGTTGAGAGGACATACTCCCATTTTTATGTAATAGTGATGAATACTGTTATATGTGTTAGGTCCTCATTAATACAGTGCACGTACACCACTAAATAAACACTATTTTTCATTGTGTACATGGATTCTCTGGTCAGTTTAGTGTGGGGATTCTTTCAATATTTACTTGACACTTTAAGCAAGTAATGTAGATTAATATAGAGCAGTTATTGTGTTTTGTTATACACCCAAAGCGCTTTGCAATCATGTGAGGGGTCGCTCCACACCACCAGTGTGCTGCATCCACCTGGATGATGCAACGGCAGCCACAGGACAATGTTGGCCGTTCGCATATCGCATATCAGCTGTAGGTGGAGAAGAGATTATTGGGCGGTAAGGGCTGGAGGAGAGAATCTGACCAGAACACTTGCATTCCGACTATTGCATATCCCTACTATTTTACTAGAAGTGCTATGGGATTTTTAATGACCAAAGAGAGTCAGGACCTCAGTTTATCATCTCATCTGAAAGAGTCACTGGCAGTGTCCCCATCACTATTCTGGGGCACAAGAAACCACACAGGCTACAGGGTGAACCCTCACTGCTGGCCTCACTAACACCACGTCCAACCGTTCCTAGTTTCCCATGTGGTCTGCTATTGAGGTACTAACCAGGTTCAGCCCTGCTTAGCCTTAATAAGTAAGCAGTCTTAGGCTGCAGGTTGATATGCCAATTTGTGGTTAATGCTGGACAGTTGGCATAAATTACCACAATTTACATCAAATGAAATTGAAGGAACTGAAATGACATTTTGAACAAATTCGGCCAAAATGATCTTTGTTTTGAGATTATTTCAGCAGTTTAAAACAGCTCATCAAAGCAAACTTTTTGGTAGGTGGCGGGTGCTTTTGGCCCCCAAACACCTTTGAAGTACCATTGGTCCAGGGTGATAATGCAATCGCTGGGTTTATTTTAGAACTCCACCGCCCCTGATACATGTTTCATTCCATAAAGATCAGAAAGGAGAACAACATCCACAACAACACCAGGTTAGCAACATGAATACCATGGGCAGGTATTCTAGATGTAGTCTCACCTGTACAATTACTCAGAGATTTTCAAGACTTGGAAAGGGGTTTCACACCTGATGAGAAGCGGTGCGTGGTATCGTACCATGCATATCATTTAAAAATTTAAATATAGTTTTCTATGACTATGTGCAAACTGGCAGAGAAAACTGAAGTCATTGTGTTTGGGAACAGAGGTGAGGTTCTCAAGGTAAATGAGCACCTTGGCACTAAGGGTCAAACAACAAAAAATAAGGTCAAGAATCAGATCTGAGTTTCAGTAGTCATGTCAAAGCAGTTAGTAAATCAGCACACTATCATGTCAAAAACATTGCAAGAATTAGATGCTTTGTTTCTAGTGAGGACTTGGAGAAACTTGTTCATGCTTTTATCAGCAGCAGGGTGGATTACTGTAATGGCCTTCTCACTGGCCTCTCCAAAAAGACAGTCACACAGTTGCTACTCATCCAGAAAGCTGCGGCCAGGATTCTGACCAGAACCAGGAAATCAGAGCTCATCACACTTGTTTTCAGGTCTTTACACTGGCTCCCATTCAGAATAGATTTAAAGTATTTAAATTATTTAAAGCAGTGGTTCTCAAACTGTGGTACGTGCACCACTAGTGGTAGGCAGGCTTACTTCTAGTGGTACACGGAGAAATCCCTGAATAATAAAAGAAAAAATGAATTTCATTTTAATTATTTGATGCGTACGATAACACCAATGTGATCAGCATTGGCTGTTCTCTAAAGCCTACGATCAAAGCGCTGTGCTTAGAATGTTTACTTTAGTGCATCATTTCATTAGCTGCTAAAAACCAATTCAATTGGTGCAGAACTAGAGAAAGACGTGCAAGGTGCTTGCAGAGCAGATACATGTTAGAGAAGTGTTTCCATGACAAGAACCGACTGATCAGCTTTATATTTTGTATGTAACATAATTTTGTTGAATGAATATGACTCTGCCTTGAACTGTGCAGTGCTGTAACTGCTTATTTTGGCCAACTATGCTACTTTATTTTAATACTGGTCATTATGGTGGTACTTGGAGAGACAATATTTTTCTGAGGTGGTACTTGGTGAAAAAAGTTTGAGAACCACTGATTTAAAGTATTATTAGTTGTATAAAAAACACTAAATGACCTAGGACCTCAATGCATTACAGATACGCTCACTGAATACAAACCGAACAGATCACTCAGATGTTTAGGATCATATAAACTAGAAAATCCAAGAGTTCCGTCAAAGCAGGGTGAATCGGCTTTCAGCTACTGCGCCCCTCGCTGCTGGAATCAGCTTCCAGAAATTATCAGATGTGCTCCAACATTCGGCACGTTCAAATCAAGACTGAAAACACATCTGTTTAGCTGTGCCTTTACTGAATGAGCACTGTGCTAAGTCTGACAGATCGCACTATTATGTTTTTATCTTCTTTTTCATTCTTATATAACCTGTTTTAACACATTTAATTGGTTTGAATAATTTTTTATTATTTGATTTTATTTTCTCATACTTGTCTCTTTTATTCCTGTTTATGTAAAGCACGTTGAATTGCCACTGTGAATGAAATGTGCTATATAAATAAACTTGCCTTGCACTGTGCTTTTGTCTGGTTTGTGACAAGCTGTTTGCCAGGTGTATATGAAACTGCTCTTCTCTCACAGCCACCATTATTGTTGTGATCACCAGGTACATGTCATGAAAGCAGTATGGCATTTAAAACCTCATCTTCTACTGCATAGATTTGTTGGGAAGTTTAAAAACAGTATGCCATCACTCAGCCTTTTTGAGCTTATTTTTGCCCTTGAAGTATATCAGGAACTTCACATTGGCCAGCAGAGTCAGTTAAGTGCATTCCCTTTCAGTCAGGATCTATAGTGTTATGGTCTAGCTACACTTTGGCCAAACCCAACTTTTTAAGCCAAGGTATTGACAGCACAGTTGTTGAATCAACCTATTCATTTGGCAGGGATTTGTCAAGAGGATGATGCTTTTTATTCAGCTAGCTCATGTTTGTGCCTTTAGGCAATATGTGCTGAAGACTGCCTCATGCTGTACAACAAATCTGTTTGGGCCCCAGCCATAGAGGAGCACCCTGGTCAAAGCAAAGATTGTTAAATGTGTGGTAGACACCATTGTTGAGGCATATTGTTGAGCAGGACATACAGCTCCGCAGCAGCTGTCAAGTGTCATTTAATTTGTGCAGTGAACACCTTCTTGGGCAGCATTGTGTAGTGTCTCCCATTCAGAGATATGCACCACAGCCACATGGACAACACCTTGTGCATTCACAAGGTTTTATAGATTTATTATGGCCCCTACTCCTTAAGTTAGCTCTGCTGTACCATCAGACAATGCCTTGGTATTGTATGTCCTAGTGACTTAATTGCATTTATTATCTAGCATGTATTGCCTGTTTCAGGTGGTGTAGAATAGTGAAATACAACTCTTCTTACTGGCATAACTCTGGTTCTATGAATGGGGGAAGACTGCCACAACGTCTAGTCTCTTAGATTCCTTGAATGACTAGGAGATCGACTGTGATATTTCGAAAATGGTTACAGCTTCTGCACAACTGAATTAATATGAGATTTTTAGAGTGCTTTCAAACTTGGTTTAATTGCCTGGACTGTATCCAGGTTCAATTGTCCTCCCTTGATACCTTCTCAGCTAATTTGTGTTCACACCATCTTTTTTCCTTCTAAACCTTGGTACGCTTACGTCATCATGCTGCTGTTTTGTGTACAGCTCTTGCTAGGTGATGTCCACGAAAGCAAAGTGGCAAAATGGAGACGTGCACATATCATGGCCATTCTGCTTTTACTGAATCTTTTGCTTTTGTTACCAAAACCAAAAAAATACAGAGAGCCAATTGTGTCTATCTATTTTTGGTGAAGACAAGCAGACATTATCACTGTTTGCACTGGGTTAGTCCCGATTGTCGCCAAGGTAGGTGAAACACAGACAAGCACACATAAATGAATGTTATATAAACTAGTTTATTGTACAGTTGGCGCTTCACTTTAGTTATTTGGTAGGATTGCATTCACATCAGAAGTTAAATATACCAGAGTTCGCATGGATCGTACCCCAGACCACCTCCTTCAGGCGGACTTAGGTATGGTTCGAGGGTGTGCACCTGAGTTCAGAAGACAGCATTATATTAGCTAAACATACCGTACTCTGATGTCAAACTAACCCACGTTCGGACCAAAAGTGCTAGTGTGAAAGCACCCTTAAAGCAAGGTATGAACCTTTCCACCATTAATAATCTGTCTCCGGTGCTCCTCCATTTTCATAGAACTTTGTTTATGCCAGTCAGCATTGCAGTATATGACCATCGGTGCAAAGCAAGGGAAGCTGAATGAGTGTTTTCCATTCTTTACATTATATTAAATGTAAAATAATATATACAAAACGCAGACAAAAGGCATAATGTAAACTAAAGTATCCAAAAACGTGTTGTTATGAAATATTATTGTAAAATAGGTATATTTTCTCACACACACACACACACACACACACACACATATATATATATATATATATATATATATATATATATATATATATATATATATATATATATATATATACACACACACACAAAGAGATTTCTATTCACACTATAGTACAATTATAATTGTAAATATTTATTATATTTGAATGGATTATTTTTATTTAAACTACAATGCAAAATGAAATGGTTTCTGCATTTGTGTTTTTAGAATTTTTTTGTTATTTAAAAATAAATAAAAGTGGTTTTAAATGTTTATTTACATTCTGTAGGAGTGTATGAAAACTAAAAGCATTTGTTATTATTGGTTTAGTATTATTATTTATATTTATTATTAGTAGGATTTTTTTTCTCTGTTGAATCCTTAAAATTATTGTATACAAATATAGACAATCTTGTATAGACAGATTTGTTATCAAATCATAAACTGTAGATTACTTACTGTTATATATTGACCGGCATATGCTTCTGTCTTGCTGATATTGGCTGTTACTGGCCATAAAGTGTTGCAAATGTCTCTTGGCATTACACCATATCAAATTTAATAATTAGCCCATATCATGAAAGGTTTAAAGTGCAAAGTTTATTTGATTCATGATCTATAAAGCACAAAAATGGTATTAAAGTTCACAATTTTACTTGATACACTACTGACATAAATGATTTACTGTAGGTAAAAAATAAATAAAAAATAGATGTTAAACACACACTATATTTTGATACTCTAGCTGTGATTATTAATGTGGATTAGAGAGAAACTTGGTTCAGTGCCCATATTCAATCACCACTCTATCAAAGTTCAACAAAGCAGATAAGAGTTTATATTAGGCAATGACAGGTCACCTGAGGAAAGGCATACATTCAAAGTTTATCTTAGTGTGTCCTTAATGTTCTGTTACCCCTAATGTATCCCATAGTAAACTTGTAATAAGACAACTTCACAGTAAAGTCTTAAGAGTAATATAAAAAATTGTGATAAGTTGTCTGCATGCTTACTTTTTTTAGAGGATAAAACAGAGATAAACAATTATTTAATATTCCATTAAGTGGCACTGGGATTACATTGATTTGAATGCAGTTTCACAGGAAAGGAAACATTTTAAAACGACTTACATTTTTATGTATTTACTTTTATTATTTCATTTTCATTACCCATTGAACAGTCAAAACTAAACATTTTGTGTCATTAATAAATCATTTACTTCACAGTGCAAATGCTTCACTCAGTTTTTCTTTTTCGGCTACAACACTTGATGCACAGATATCTAACTGTTACAAACATGGAGTAAATGAATATCAAAACAACTGCAATCAGTGTAACTGAAACATCTACTGAGTGATAGGAGTACCAAGGCATTTTGTAGGATTCAGTACGAAGATGAGCAGCACCTTTGTGCCTCATTACAAACTCAATCCAGAAGATGGCGCTGTCCAACGGTTCGACTGGCTTGTCTCTGTGCAGATAAGAGAGCTTCTGCATATTCAGCCTGTAGGATGGCTCATTGATTACTTCCTGTATTGCTGCATGCAGTGAGTTTTCACCTAATTCTGCAAGGGAGACTATCTTGGCTCCACCTCTTGCTTGTAATCGAATGAGATTGTCATACTGGTCAAAAAAGAATGGAATTCCAATCACTGGAACACCATGGTACAAAGCTTCTTGAACCCCATTGGTTCCACCATGTGCAATGAAAAGTTTAGTTTTTGGATGTCCTAGAAGATCTTTCTGTGGCATCCAGTCAACTAATAATGTGTTGTTACCCAAAGTAGATGGCTTCTTTCCAGTGTATCTCCAAATAACCTTTTGAGGCAACCGGGCAAAAGCAGCAGCTATTTCAGAACTTACATAATCCGGCAAGACACTGATAAACGACCCTAAAGACATTACGATGACTCCATGATCTCCAGAACTCTGCATGAAGTCTTCCAGATCATGTGGAAGGGGCTTTGCTGGAGTGCACTGAAAGCCACCAATGTAGATGATATTTGGCATTGTTGGACGTGGAAATTCAAAAACAAAATCAACCCTCATGAGCCATAAATCAGCCCCCTGCAGAAGTTTGTAAAAATCTACAGGTGGATCAAAATATTTATCACAAAGTGCTTGATACTGTGGCACATTAAAACGGCTGCATTGAAAGTCCAACAGCAAATAGTAGAAAACATTTATTACTCTTTGGAAGAAGCTCATTTTGTCTGTGTTTCCAGATCCTGTAAGTGGGATGTAAGACATTGGTGAGGGAGCGATGTCAAAGTGTCCTTCTCCAGGAGTAGTCCATCTCACATTATAGACCATGGGTAACTTGAGTTTATGAGCCAGAATAATACCTGTACCCCATCCTGGATCAGCGAGCATCAGATCATACTTCTTTTCCTGTAGTGTTTTCAGAATATCCTCACTTTCAAATATGTTTGTTATAAGCCTACATACTAATTTGTGACTTTCATAAACAGCTTTGGATACATCCAAAAACAGCTGTACACCACCCAGCCAGGAGCCCTTACCTCTTTCATAGTCAATCTTTTTAGTCAGCACATCTTCTACAAATTCTTCATCCATTCCTTTGGAGTCAGGTATGGTTATGGAGTTGTAATATGTTGAGTTCTCCTTGACGAACCAACTATTGGTGTTGCGTATCACATCAACGCTGTGCCCTTGACCATGTAAAGCCTTGATGAGGATGTCCATGTTCACCCAGTGACTTCCCTCCAAAGGCGCCACTAAGATTTTGCCACCATCGCAAAGAGAGCCAAAAATGATCATAACTGTTATCCAAAGTGAGACAGAAAATGTATTCTTTGATAGTTGTGCCATCCTAGCTGTAAACAATAAAATAAGTTTTATTACATCAAATAGTAATAATTTTGTTATATATTGTTGCAGTGGTATTTTAAAGAAATGTATTCAATAGATGTAGATTAGTTTGTGCCCTGTAGTTTCTGAATTTTCCCAGCAAAACATAAAATTATTAATTATGAATGATAAAATCATGGTGTACATGTCTCTAGACTTGCTGCATCACAAAAATCAACATTTCAACAATTTCTTTAAAAAGACTTTCTGTGATATAAGGCATGGATACCCAGGTAGCAAAGAATTCTGGCCCAGATTTGGCATAAAGCTGGCACAGCAGGCATTCGTCCGGCACTGGCATGCAGCATGTGGGCCAAACATGGCCCAGGTTTGGCTGAGGTGGCACTGTCTTACAGGTGGCACACAAGACGTGGGCCAGATATCAAATGTAGTATTTGGCCCAGATGGTAAAATGTATAAGTGGGTCACGTAATTTTGGCCTGTCTTGGCTTACTTTTAAAATTAATATAAATTATTTTTGAGTAAAGAAAAAAATCTGTTAATCAGTTTGCTTCAAGAAAAAGCACAGCCATGTAGCGAGAAAAAAAAAAACAAAACAAAAAAACATTGCAGTCGTGACACACCAACCAACATTGGCTGAGACTTGGTCCGGTCATGTACAGTAATTCACTGCAGCATGTGGGCCAAGCAAATGCTAATGATGTGGGCCAGAGAAATTTTGCTATGGGGGTATATATATTATATCAGTTGTTCCTGGGCTCAGTTAAAGACAACCATGGCTACACCCTCTTGTTTACACTTAGAAAACTCTATATTAGGAGTTTAATCTTACAAGGCTTTAACATGAACACATGTAAATAATAAATATCCATGGTGTGTAAAAGTGAGGATGACAGACACATAAATAAACTCAAACATTTTTTTGGTTTAAAAAAATATCCAAGATACGATTAAGCACAGAAAAATTATAAATACAGTCCTCTTGTGGAAAGAGGCTGGGGACTTAAAGCAGCAAATTACTTGGAGTTAGAAAGAAGGAAGGAAGGAAGGAAGGAAGGAAGGAAGGAAGGAAGGAAGGAAGGAAGGAAGACAATCTTTGTTTATATTTTTTTCATATGATTAAATTACAGAATTCAGATTATTCATGCAGTCTATTTTGTTTGTTTACTATCAGTTGTACTATATTAGAATGTGACGACAAACCAAATACATTTACTATTGTACTGACCTTTATACAACCATATACAGTCAACCTCAAGTGTATATTTCACAATATAAAAACAAACATTTCTGTCAGCACCACAGTTACTACTTAGGTAATTTATAAAAAATCTGATCATATTTATTTTGAATAAATAAACTTAAACTTATAATAAACTGTTGTTTTAGAACTACTGGTACCTACAGTTATTTTGGCATAGACGTCTGCTTTGTTTAGTGTTGTTACTTTTTCTTTTCACTATACCAGTTAACCTGAATGAGCAAGACTGTTTAAAGTTTATGCTTTATATGATTTATGGCACAGACATACTTTCAAAGTGCATGTGATTGTTTGTGATACAACACCTACATCGATCTACTTTTTAACACTGACTACTACTGTGTATATATATATATATATATATATATATGTTATGTTTGTACACTTACATAACAGTAATTAAGACAATCACACCGGAGCTGCTCTGAACACGTCTTTACTTCACTATTGCAACAACCACATACACACACACACCACTAGAGTGCGTCGTAACTGAACAATCAATTTGTTACTAACTCAATATACAACAATTCCTCCCCTCCAGCATTGATGTATCCCTTCAAGCTGCATTACATTATATTTACCAGTAAGTATACAAGCACTCCAAACACAACAATGCAGAACTTATTCAACTATGCAAATAGTTGTAACAGTTATTTCAGCTAGTTATCATATGTATATATGAATAACTATAAGTTTAGTCTGTCAGGTGGTTTGTGAACACGCTCAGGATAACGTTTCGCTTGAGGCATTGCGTTTTGAGATGAGGACTGAGCACTGGACACCTGAACAGTTTCTGATTCGGTTACACCAGTGTCTGTAGAGGGAAACTCTGGTGTTATGAGTGCATACTCATCAGGGCATGGGGAAGTTTCCACATTCTCTGTTAAGTTTTGAGAAGAATCAACCTGTGAGGTTGCATCCAAAAGCTGGTCAATGTGTCTGCGCCAGACCATGTTGGCACCAACTTGTACAGTGTAAGTAAGTGGCCCAGTCTTGGACAATATCTTGCCTGGTTGCCACTTTTGATGTGTTTGTCTGTAGTCTCTAGCCAGTACATTTTGTCCAACATGTAACGTCCTGAGTACGGATTGCTTTGTGTTTTTCTGACACTGTTTGGCTTGCACATGTCGGCGTAGATCAGGCTTAAGTAAGTCTAAGCGCGTACGAAGACTTCTGCCCATAAAAAGTGTGGCTGGAGATTGACCTGTAGTCGCATGTGCAGCATTTCTGTAGGCCAGCAGGAAGTTTGCAATCTTTTCTTGTAGAGACACTTTTTCCTTTCCCATGGCCTTTAGTGACTGTTTTAGGGACTGAACAAAGCGTTCCGCTAAACCGTTCGTAGCAGGATGGTAAGGAACAGATGTTGTGTGCCTTATTCCATTGCTTTTGACAAATGACTGGAATTCCTCCGAAGTAAACTGCGTACCGTTATCACTGACTAACTGCTCTGGCAAGCCAGTGCGAGAGAACAATGTGCGGAGCAGTTCTACAGTCATCGTGGATGTTGCATTTTTGATGGGAAATACCTCTGGCCATTTTGAATATGCATCCACTACCACCAGAAGCATTTTGTCAAAAATGGGTCCTGCATAGTCAATGTGAACTCGCTGCCAGGGGCTGGTAGGAAATTCCCACACATGTAAAGGTGCTGCCTTTGGCTGTCGCTGAATTTGCTGGCATCCAGAGCATGCCTTAGCAAGATCTTCAATTTGGCGATCTAGCCCTGGCCACCAAACATAGCTCCTGGCCAGGCTTTTCATTTTCACAACACCTAAATGTCCTTCATGTAAGGCAGTGAGTACTCTGGCTTGTAGCTTATGTGGAACTATCACTCGAGTACCCCACATGACACATCCTTGTGTTACAGAAAGCTGTTCACGACGATTTGAGTAGTCCAACAGTTGAGGATCCCCTTTAGCTGGCCATCCTTTCATGGTCAGCTCAAACACCTTGGACAGTACCGGGTCTCGACGAGTCTCATTTTGAATTTGAGCACTTGTGACTGGTAAAGGTTCCATTTGAACAATGTGAAACATGTTAGTTTCATCTGTCCCCTCATCTGCATTCTCATGAGGAAGGCGCGACAGTCCGTCTGCGTTTCCATGGTGCTTAGTGCCCTTGAACTCAATCGAATAGTCATGACCACCTAAAAACAACGCCCATCGTTGTAGGCGTGCTGCAGCCATTACTGGGACACATTTGTTGGGGCTGAAAATGGCCACTAATGGCTGATGATCTGTGATCAGAGTGAAGTGTTTTCCATACAAATATTGATTAAACTTCTTCACTCCCCATACTAAGCTTAAGCCTTCTCGATCAATCTGTGCATATTTGCGTTCTGACACAGTCAAGGATCTAGACGCAAATGCAATTGGCCGCTCAGATCCATCAGTCATTTTGTGAGACAAAACTGCACCTATGCCGTATGGTGAAGCGTCACATGCAACACGCAGGGGCAGACTGGGGTCATAATGTGTTAACACAGTCTCTGACGTGATCAGTTGCTTAGCCATCTTGAACGCCTTGTCACAGTCCTTTGACCACACCCATTTACTTGTCTTTTGAAGCAAAGCATTTAATGGATGTATAACTGTGGAGAGATTTGGTAAAAATCTGTGATAATAGTTCACCAGTCCGAGAAACGAACGAAGCTGGTTCACGTTCTCTGGTCTTGGTGCATTAAGTACGGCATTGATTTTGTCTGGAGACTTGTGAAGGCCTGCCTTGTCAATCCGGTGTCCACAGTATTCAATTGAATCTTTGAAAAATTCACATTTGCTCCTATTTGCTCTCAGACCATACTCAGCCAGTCTTTCCAGCACAGCATTCAAGTTTGCCAGATGGGTTTTATCGTCATGGCCCGTGACTATAATGTCATCTAAATAGCACTGTGTGCCAGCGACACCCTGCAAGACTTGATCCATGGCTCTTTGCCACACAGCTGGTGCTGACGAGACCCCAAATACAAGTCTGTTGTAGCGAAAGAGACCCTTATGCGTATTTATTGTCAGGTACTTTTTAGACGATTCTTCCATCTCCATCTGCAAATACGCCTGGGCAAGATCAATTTTTGAAAAACGCTGCCCACCTGACAGTGACGCAAAAATGTCATCAATGAGAGGCAATGGGTACTGGTCTGCCTGTAAGACTGGATTAATCGTGACTTTGAAGTCGCCACAAATTCTTACATCACCACTCTTCTTGACAATTGGGACTATAGGTGTAGCCCAGTCAGTCCAGTTTACCTTAGACAGGATTCCTTGGTCTTCTAGTCGCTTTAGCTCCGCCTCCACTTTTGGGCGTACTGAATATGGTACAGGGCGTGCTTTGTGAAATTTTGGTTGCACATCACTTTCAACCTTGAGCCTTGCTTTAATGTGTTTTAGAGTTCCAATTCCATCTTGGAAAACTTGTGCATGTTTCACTAGCACCTCCTCTAATTTGTCTTGCTGAAGTGTTGTTTCCGGGGTAACTTGTATAGCTTTTAAGGACTGCCAGTTAAGCCGAATGCTCCTCAGCCATTCTCGTCCAAATAAGGGTACTCCCCCCTTTTTCAGCACATAAAGATTCAAGACTCGCCTTTGTTTTTCACATTTTACTCTCACCTTCAGTTTTCCCATGGGTGAGATTTTCTCTCCTGTATATGTCTTGAGTATTACAGATGTGTGCTTTAGTTTGAACTTTTCAAAATGGTCTTTGTAATCCTTGTACGATATTATTGACAGTGCCGATCCTGTATCAAGCTCCATTTTCAGTTTTACTCCCTCAATGATAGGACTCACCCAGATGATTTCGCGATCTGTCTCTTTAAGGGCGTGTAGTTCAATGTATGAGAGGCTTGCCACATCAGAGTTTTCTGTATCAGATTCGTTCAGCTCATGCATCTTAGTGTGTCTTTTTCCAAATGACTTTCTTTTATTTTCAGTTGCTTTTGTTTTACACATTTTCTGTATGTGTCCCTTGCGATGACATTGTCTGCACTCCTTCTCTTTAAACCAGCATTCAGTAGGGCTATGTGACTTTTTCCCACATCTGAAACACAATGAATTTTCACTTTTCTTTGACGTGAACTTGTTTATGTGACATTCCGAGATCGCCTTTCTCTGTAATTCCAGCGCATCTTTTGCGGCTGTCTCCATAGAAACGGCAATTTCAAGCGCTCGCGCCAACGTGAGCTCTCTTTCAGTAAGGAGTCTCTTTTGCGTGCTCTCGCTGTGAATGCCGCAAACAAGCCTATCCCTGAGCGCGTCAGACAAACCATCACCGAATTGGCAGTGCTCTGCGAGTCTCCGGAGCTCGGCCATGTACTCCGATACAGACTCTGTCTTATGTTGATTTCGCTTATGGAAGCGAAAGCGCTCCGCGATCGTCAATGGTTTCGGATTTAAATGCGTTTGCAGCACTTCCACAATCTCTTTGAAAGTTTTCTCGGCTGGCTTAACTGGTGCTGATAAACTGCGTAAGAGGTTGTATGTTTTTGCCCCCATTACACTCAAGAGAACGGCAACTTTTCTCTCGTTCCCGATGTCATTGGCTAAGCAATATTGCTCAACTCTCTCCACATATGTTGCCCAGTCTTCCACCGTGCTTTCAAAAGCATCCATTTGTCCGATGCACGCAGCCATTTCTGTTTCGTCTTCCCTTTCGGTTCGTTAATATATGTATATACTGTACATTACCCACTGCACGTTAAGCCTGATGATGAAACTTGCTGCACAACTGGGTCTTTACAATCCTCGTCGCCAGTTCTGTTATGTTTGTACACTTACATAACAGTAATTAAGACAATCACACCGGAGCTGCTCTGAACACGTCTTTACTTCACTATTGCAACAACCACATACACACACACACCACTAGAGTGCGTCGTAACTGAACAATCAATTTGTTACTAACTCAATATACAACAATATATATATATATATATATATATATATATATATATATATATATATATATATTTATATATATATATATATTTCATCTCTGACTATGACTTTGCACACTTATTCATTACACAGTGTAGGTATACTGATTAAACATTAGTTTTGCTGACTGCGAATTTCCCAGCATCCTTCAGTATCAGTATTTGGAATGTGAACTTGGAGGTGTAATGGCAACAATGAGGGTAAGAGAGTTCACATGAAGGCAAAAGAAAGTCTTCAGGTTTTTATGCTTACAGGTTTGCCACTGGAGAAAATCAATTTAAGGCTGTAAGTCTGTTTCTCCCTATTGTTCGGATTGAATCTAACCCAGGTAGCAAAGAATTCTGGCCCAGATTTGGTATAAAGCTGACAGAGCAAGCATTCATTCGGCACTGGCATACAGCATGTGGGTCAAACATGGCCTGGGTTTGGCAGAGGAGGCATCGTCTTTAAGGCGGCACACAGATGTAAAATGTAGTATGTGCCCCTGGTGTTTAAAAATTATGTATGCGCCATGCAAGTTTGGCCTGTCTTGACCCACATTTAAAATAAATTAAAATTATTTGAGTAAAGAAAATAAATCTACCAATTGTTTAGAGAAAAAGCACACCCGTAGTGTGCCTAAAGCGCAAAGCTTCATGGGTTTATCTATTTCATTGCCAGGGGCGGGCTGGCCATCTGGCAATTCTGGCAAATGCCGGAAGGGCCGGACCAATTTTTAAATGTGGGCTGGTCAGTTTTTATTTATATGTATTGTTTTTACGTTAAGGCAGCTTTTATCTCTTGCTAGATGTGATATTATGATGATGATAGTAATAATAATAATAATAAATGTTAAGCATTTGGACCAATCGTGACGGCCGCCTGATTTCAAGATGGGCCGACCCAATCCGAGGTTACCCGGACGTAATCAAAATCTGGCAAGAATGTCATATTATTTCACCATCTGTACATCAAAATAAATAGTGAATGTGCGTGTCCGTGGGTGGGGCTATGTCAGTGTGGTAATGTGGGCTGATGTGGTTACAGTGCCAGGGCTGAATTTTTGTCCCAGTCCGCCCCTGTTCATTGCAATCGTAACACACCAACCTATCAGGCCCAGTTACAGGTTATTAACGTGGCTGAGACTTGACCCAGAAATGGTCCATGTTTGGTACCATAATTGACTGCGGCATGTGGGCCAAGCAAAACCAGATTGTGTGGGCCAGAGCTGGGCCAGACAAATTTTGTGGGAAAGATTAGAATCACAGCAGATAATAAAACTGACTCTTTTTGTAACTTTATATTAAAAAACAGCTTCAGTGGTCTTGGCTTTTTTTCTCTGCTTCATACCACTACCATAATAATAAGATTTGAATACTTCAGCTCATTCATGATCATGATTTCTGCAGGAGTCCCATATGATTTAATGAAGACCAGCACAAATTATTCCACACATAGTCATGGGGTTAACAGACTATGCCTTTGTTTGATGTGAGTAAGTGCCTTCTAGCAGTAAATATGTAATACTGTGCCTTTAATTATGAGACTATAAATGTTTATGTTATGCATTCCTATTCAACTCCTGAATGTGTTTGTCTCCCTCTAGTGTTGTGATTTCATATTTTTTCCCCAGGTGGTCTTGTCCATGTTGGTCATGTTTGGGCATGTTTCAGCTCATGCCTTTTTTTGTATTTCGGCCAGTCTTACCTTTGAGGGTTATTATGCCATGCAGTTTTGAAATACCAAATCTATGGGATTTACATCTGGATTCATTCTGACAATTCTAGTTTACAGATGACTGGAGACAACTGCATGGTAAGTGTATACAGTGTTGATAATGTTTATTTCTTGATTTGTTGGTTTTTATGGGTTCCATGTGTTTCTGGACCTAAAAACCAATCATAAGTGTCCATTTTTAAGCGTTCACGTTGATATAGGATGGGCAGTTTTAGGCCAAAATACAACTACTGTATTTGAATATCTGGAATCTGAGAGTTCAAAAAAAGAAATAGTAAGAAAATCACTTTTAAATATGTCCAAATTGAATTAATAGTAGTGCAAATTACTAGTCAATACGTTTGGATACGTTTAAGATAGGACATTAACTAAAGGCATTTATAAAACATTTTCTTTGTTTATTATTGTAAAGATTTTTGGCAAAAATAAAATAAAAACCCACAATTTATACACATATAATGTATTTTTGTATAATGGATTTGAGTCATACCTGGTTAAGATTATATGAACACTGGGCTATATCACTTTTTGAATCAAAAAGTCAAATTTCGTTCTGTCTTTCATTCTATTTTTAATTTCTGTGTTTTTCTGTGATTTTATTTAAGAATTGTGTAAATAATTCATTACTTAGTATTGATTGCTTAGTATTTTCTTGATCAGCAGCAGTTTTGTGGATTGTGGTTTTATTTACAGTAATATATATTTTTAAATAATACTGTTTATACGATATGAAATAAAGTTGACTTGTGATTTTGCTGAAAAACAATATAATTCTAATGCAGTTGGAATCACATGTCAATCACAATCAAGTATTTAACAGTGTCCTTATTTTTAGAGTAAATGTTTTTAATGCATAACATGGAGGTGGTTATACTTTTCAAGTGAAATGCCAATGTATTTAATTTTTGGAATTAATTCTGATTCCTAGTTTTGGACTCAATTCCTCACTGTTGTTCTTGGCTCAATTTCAGTTTTCGTTTCGTTTTCATTTATCACTACTCAAGCAAATAATTTAAACATCCATTTTAAACATATAAATAGAAAACTGTATGCTTAACCATAACATAACAAAGTGCTCAAAACCTTCTAATGTGGACAAAATAATTATAATAATTCAAGGAATTTATGAGGATGAACTAGTTTTTATTTAGACATAAAGAACAATTCTATGTGTATTGATGTTACATAAACTTATAGAATTGTCTCAATTCCCAACATCCCAGAATAAATTGTCAACAATTATTTTACAGCACATTATACTGCAATGCCTTCAAGCAGTCTTATTTCTTTAGTTAATAAACGTTATGTTTCTTTATTTCTTACAAATAATGAAGCATATTAATACAAACTAAGCATTTATTAAAGTACTGTGAAAATCCAAAGTTCCTTATTTACAACGTAGGTATAGTCATTCTTATTATTAGTGGTAATTTATTTATTAATTTAGATTTTTTTTTTTCACAAAGTGAAAGTAGTAAGTATAATATAAATTATTTAAAGTGACAAGGAACCTAACAATAGCCTAAAGCAAATGACAAGTTATTTGTCCTACATGGTTAATATAAAGTTTGAATTCACCCCAGGACAAACAAGCAAATAAGTAAATAATCACATTTTAAAATGCCACTTTTTTATTTATTCAGCAAATTTAGTGATCAAGCTGACTGTTTGGTATTTTAAAAATACTCACAATGCATTTATAATTTTGCAACTTATAAAGCATTACAATGTGTATACAATTTACAAATTAAAACTGATTGGAAATGACAAATGATATAATTAAATGTTCATTTTGCACCAACCATTACATATATGTCTTGGTAAAACGCTAATAACAGAAATAAATTGCTATTTCAAATATTTCATGGCCATTTTGCATTTCAAAAGGGATTTTGCTTCTATAGTTTTGGGCTCCTGCCTTTAAATGTGAGGCATCTGGTTTCATTGTTTAACTGCTTTCCGGTTAAATTACGTCTACTACTGCAGTTTCATAAATTAATATAGTGATGCTTGTGCAAAACCGCTGTCATATTAAACTAAAGTTACTGAAAGATGAGCTCACCTGTTGATCTCATAATTCTCTCAAGTCAGAATTCTCTCCAGAGTTCAGACGTAATGATTTATAGCAGCGTTCGCAGCTGGTGCAAGTATCAAACTGTGTTGGTTCACTTTTTCTCACTTCAATATTAAATTTCACTTCTGTTATTCAGAACGTGTAGAATGACATTTGTGTTTCGCCAGTCTTGTTCCTCTGTGTTTTCAGATTTGCAGTTTCACATCAGTTTTGGTAGCACACCGCCGCATAGTGGCGAACGTCGGAAAACTGCAAAATCATGATTTCGTTGTATCGAAAGGAGACTGTGGCCCTCCTTTTCTACTCAGCCCCCCTAAAACTTTTGCGATTAGCTCATAAACTGTACACTAAATTATCGTCCCAATCCCCTTTAAATCTAAGAAAACGGCGGCAGAATTCGGCTCCTCCCGGTCTTTTGTTTTTTATTTGATCAGCAAACCACAGTGGGCAGTGAGAGCACGAGGTGTGTGCTGATAATTGTTATTATATATGATTATGCGCAGTTCTTTGATATACTGTAGATAACCTTCCCAATGTCATAGAGGAGCAGTCGGGTTTTCTCCAGCAAAAATAGAAACTCTTAACGATCCTTGCACTATTTTTATTTTAAAAAGAACTACCGATATTAAACACTTTACAGTTTGTGTGGCATTAACTATACCATCTTGCACAGAAGGGATTAAACACTGTGACAGAAGCACTTAGAGAATGTATGTATATATATATATATATATATATATATATATATATATATATATATATATATATATATATATATATATATATATATATATATTTTTTTTTTTTTTTTTTTTTTTTTTCAGTTCTCATTCCACCACTGCATTTTAATGATCATTCATGTTGTTTATTTCTGCATTTGAATTATGGGATCATGATTTTTCTTTCAACAACGTTGAACCTTGAAAAGTTTGAAAAAGTATTTTTGATGAACATTTTAACAGTTTAAAGTAATATGTTGTCTGATTGTGTTGTATATCACTGTACAAAAACCTTGTTATAAACATTTTCTGTTATTTAACAAACTAATTTGTCTATATATTATTTTTTATACATTATATTATTTCAACCTACTAGAATGTCTGTAAAAGTCATTTTGTTAAACTGTAGAGTTGAATGTTAGACATCAAAAGTCAACAGAGCAGAGATCCCATAATGCAATTCACAACTCAAAATAAACAAAAAACACTTGTAAATCACAAAATGTGGGAACTGTTAATTACAGTTTTGCTGTTTCAGTTTAAAGTACACACAATATAGAGCTGATGCAATAAACATTGTCAACATTAAATAATGTTCGCAGATGATAAACTTGAAACAATGGCTTTATTTAAGGAAATATGGCCTCTGAATTCAATTTTGGATTCATAAATAACATCTGTTCTGTTACTTTGAATTTGTTGCTTTAAAGCTGTTCTGTTTCATTATATAGCAGCATACACTTGTTACACTCTGTTGAAGATGATCTCTGCTGGGCTTCATGTGTGAACAGCAGATGTCAGCATTGACCCACTAATAGAAAAACTACCCCCAAGTTCAACACCATTCCTCTCTGATTCACTCTCCATTTGTTTTTGCATGTAGGTTCTCAGGTTTACCTTTTCTTATCTTCTTATATTCATTTTTGTAATAGATAGAAAGAAACCAATCAGTGGTAAGAAGTGACAACAATGACAGTAATGAAATTAGAGGTGTGAACCTACACTGGTCTCAAGAATTGGTTCGGTTTCTATTATCATGCCATATATAGCAAATAAACAAATATAAATATCATGCTTGCTTTCTAAGCCTTGTCTAGCTTCTTTTTTTTGACACCCCTAATTTTGACAGCCCTATATGAGATAGTAATAATGATAGTAAAAAAGGACAACAGTAATAATAACACTGACAACAACAGTAATAACATAATTACAACATCAAGTAATACACTAACTACTAAGTTACCACAGAAATTATTAATGCTACAGCAACTTCTACTGCTGCTTCTACAGCCACAACAAGGATTACTGCTACGTCTACTACTGATACTACTACAACAATGACTACTACTACAGATACTACTACAACAACAACTACTACTACAGTGTCTACTATACTACAACAACAACAACAACGACTATCACTGTACTGTCCTCAACATACTGTCCCTTGATTGTTTTGACAGTTAGATAAACTCCCTTCCCTCACACGACTCTGAAGACAAGAAACTCATTTGCCAACAGGTTTAATGGTCTTGGGTATGGAGTGAAACTACAAAAAAAAAAAAAAACCAATAGGATACATAAATAATATGTCCACAAGTTAACAAAACTACAGAAGCATAGCATTTACATAAAAATACAGAGTGCTTTGTAGTAAGTAATATCTTTTCTTATGTAAATACAAAATACTGAAATATAAAGCTAAAGCAAATTGTGGCTAATGTATTAGCTCTGCCGATAAGCTAAGAAGTCACTCTTAAGCTCAATTATTCATAAAACATACGAGTATAATGAACACCTTATACAATCAAAAACGTACTTACAAGCGATGCTGTTGCAAGGGTTAAGATTGCAGGAAAACATGACGATTGCTGATCATCGTAGTGATTGCTGTGTGCTTGCAGCACTTCCAGATTTAAGTGAACAGCAGGATCTTGCTATAACTCAAGGTCACCACTAGATGGAACACTAACCATTTACAAAATGAAACCAAATCCCTACTTGAAAGAATTACCCTTGCAATACACAATAATTATCTTGCCAAATTAAAGATTAAACATTAATTCTGCTTTCATCAAATATGTTCCAGCACAACCACTACTCATGATACTATTACAACAGCGTCTACTACTACTGATACTACTACAACATCTACTACTGATACTACTACAACATCTACTACTACTGATAGTACAACTTCTACTACAGTGTCTACTAGTATACTACTTCAACGACTACTACTACTCATGATACTATTACAACAGCGTCTACTACTACTAATACTACTACAGTTTCTACTAATACTAACACTAGTAATTGTACAACAATGACTACTACTACTACTACAGTGTCTACTAGTATACTTCTACAACAACAACTACTACAACTACTCCTGATACTACCACAACAATGTCTACTACTACTGGTACTACTACATCATCCACTACTACTGATTGTACAACGACTACTACTACTTCAACAACGTCTACTACTACAACAACATCTACTACTACTGATTGTACAGCAACGATACTACTACAAAAAAAGTGTCTACTAGTACTGATACCACTACAGCAACATCTACTACTACTACAGTGTCTACTAGTATACTACTACAACAACGATTACTACTACTACAACATCCACTACTACTGAGTGTACAACGACTATTACTACTACAGTGTCTACTGGTAATAATACTACTACATCAACTACTGCTACTACTATGTCTACTTCTACTACTGATACTACTACAACTACTACTGCTACAACTACTACTTCAACAACCACAATTACTATTACAAACACTACTACTACAATTACTACAACAACAACCTGAATAATGACGATGGCTAGAATACTAATAATAATGATAATGTGGAGATAACAGGAGGAGCAGTCAGAACAGTAATAATAATAAGGATAATACAAGTAGAAGTAATAATATTAATGTTAATAGTCACTATTATCTTCTTTTAATCATAATAGAGGATTTTGCATTTCCTCCCTATCATGTTTCAACAACTCGATATGCTTCATCCAAAAAACAATACATACTCAGTCACTGGAAAATCTCAACTAATTGTAGAGGTAACTAGATTCTGTGCAGCAGGATATCCTGGAGGATTTAGCAGTCAGCTCTTGTGAGTATATATATGTGAGACTGAAGTGTGCAGTGGAGCTGAAAAAAGCCCAGTGTGGTTTATGAGAGTGAGGGGCCTTCTGAGGGAATACGGGATCAGACCGTCTCAAATTTCATTCTTCTCTTCCTTCTGTGCCGCACTCAGGCAACTAGTCGTGTTGCGTCATTTCTAACCAATTTGTGCCAAAAAATGTTTAGAATTTGCTGTTAATTATAGAAGTTTCAAAGCAGATTGTAACCAGGGGTGTGACACTGACAACAAGGGTGAGGATCCACATGCAGGTATATTAACGAGGTCAGGTCAGCAATGGTCAACACAGGGGCAAACAGATGTATACAGTCAATCCAAATTCATAGTCAATAGGCAGGGAAATGGTCAGAGGCAGACAGCAAACAGGATTAAACAAATAAACAAGGCAAGGATCAAAAACATGGTAAAGCAAGACAAAGGAAAGGTGTTGTAATGTCACTAGAACAGATAGCAAGACTTAGCCCTGAGTGTCTCAAAGTGAGCCGAATATCTGTGTGTAATCAGTCATTGAGTAGCATCAGCTGTGAGAGTGTAATCAGAGGAGACTTGGAGCAGGTGTGTGGGCAGCATAACTGAATATGTAGTCCATAACATGGTGGATTTGTAGTTCATGTGAAAGGGGGTGTTTACCAGCGACCTCTGGTGATTGGATCGCTGGTGATCTTGACAAAGGCATTACAAAAAAGTTTGTTTTCATTGGAAAACACTTTACATACCAATAGTGTGGGGAGATGCTATAATAGATGGGTGTGGCTCTGTGGCTCCGCCTACTTTGGAAATCTTCGATATTTAATATAAAGATTAACTTGTGTAAAAATTTGTAGTTCTCACCTGAATGTCGTTCCAATCCTTTGAGACCTTTACTAATTTTCAGAACACAAATTAAGATATTTTAGATGAAATCCAAGAGCTCTGTCATCCTACATAGACAGCAATGTTTATGAAACATTTAGAGTCCAGAATTGGAGCCAAAAACATTGTCAAAATGTTCCATGTGACTTCAATTATTAAACTCTAATCATACGAAGCTCCAAGAACAGTTTTGTGAGTCAGAAAGCCTGGTAGACTTTCGTACAGTAGCTTGTTAGTTAGAGTTCGAAGTGTATAACCTAACCATTAAAATATTGTCAAAGCTTGATTGATTTTTGCCCATTTATTTGCGTCTTGTATTTTTTATTTTTTAATTAAGGAACAGACCGTCTTAAATTCCATTCTTTTCTTCCTTCTGTGCTGCGCTCCGGCAACTAGACGTGTTGCGTAATTTTTTAACAATTCTTGGCAAAAAATGCTTTGAATTTGCTGCTAATTACAGCAGTTTGAAAGCAGATGTTCCATAAAAGTTTGCTTTTGTTGGTAAACACTTTAACTACTATTAGATTGGGGAGATTTTATAATAGATGGGTGTGGCTCTGTGGCTCCGCCTACAAATCTTCAGTAGTTAACTTCCTCAAAAAATATATTTTTTTACTCACGTTCATGTTGTTCCAATCCCCCGAGACCTTTCTTTATCTTTAGAACACAAATTAAGATATTTTAGATGAGAACATTTAGAAGAGCTCCCTCATCCTCCATAGACAGCAATGGTTATGAGACATTTAAAGTCCAGAACTGTAACCAAAAACATTGTCAAAAATTCCATGTGACTTCAGTGCTTCAGCTGTAACCATACAAAGCTCCAAGAACACTTTCGTGAGCAAAAAAAGCCTGCTAGACGCTGGAAACAAATATTTTCTTTCTATCAATATCTAAAATTTCTTAAATCAAGAAGCATTTCCTAGAAATCTGAC